GGGTACTCCATTGATCCACAACCCCTCTCCCCGCCGGTACAACTTCTACAGCCCCTCAAACCTGAACGATCCTTCACTGTTAGCGCCTAAATATTCCTGGACACGCTCGGGGTAGATCTCCTCCTAAGGCGGTCGATAGTTGTGGTCGAGACTCTTTAAGAAAGAGCTGGTTGCGTCTTAGGTCAGGCACTTCAAACGTAGGTGTGGCACTTAGAGAGGCACATTATAGTCGGCTAACATTCGAGTGTCTTTAAGTTGAAAGTTTCGATGGCTAGCAAAAGTGGAAGTAGACTCCACAGTTGCTCGGATATACAAGAAAGGAAACTTTTCTATATATCACTGTAGACTTTAGCCAAAAGTGATATGAATGGCTGTGTTTGATTATATAGCTGAGCAAATAACCACATGATTTGTAGAAAAGTGTACTTCATGGCTCCGTGTCATCAGAAAGAAAAGATGGCTGTTCTGAAGCAAGCGCTGACGCCTAAGCACTATTATCATATAGCCAGCAGACTTCGACCAATAAGAAGGCTCTTTTTCCCATTGGTTATCATGCCGTAACCTCAAAAGTGGTCGGTTATTAGAATAATCGGTCGGTTATTCGCTACGCTCACTTGGTGGTTTATTCGGTGGTCGCACCTGACCAGGGATTATCTCACGATATACACCTCGGGGCGGGACATTAACCCTTTATTATTACGAGTAGAGCAACCTCTGCATACTTAGCATAGCTTCTATTTTCAATGGACCATCAATGCACAAATATAAAATGTACTACTAGCATGGTATATGCAGGTAGACCTGTGTTCGTGAGTTCTCTTCAAACATTTCGGAAATACCATCGATAACATCGGTTTCTCTGATGTTACGTTATATTGTGATTAAGTCAGTAAAATATTCCCTTGTTACAATCCCCCCATTAAGGGGCGCCCAAATCCTTGCCTTTATGCGATGGCATTTGGAAATGAAGGTTTTACTAGTCCCTGAGCGCCTGTCCCATCCGATGATAACGCATTTCTGAATTCACTCAGGTCCAATATCAGGCCAGCTACGGTGTACTACAACTGACAATCGTCAATCCCGCTCATGCGAGTTATCCCGGTAAGTATCTCTTTGCGGCTGTCACAGACCATCGTATCCAGACGGGGTTAGAATTCATTTCCGTACAAATCCACCTGCTGAGTTTCAGAAAAGGTCATCCGAAACACAACACAGTACAAAATACTAGCATGAAAGTTCATCTGAGGTGGTAAAATACATGATGGAAAATTAAACTGTTCTCCAACTCAAAACACGAAAATAACTCAGTCTTCATCATCTTTGTGACCAAATTACTGTGGACACCGTGTGACGTCAGCACTGGGTCAAAGTTCGTCGGAAGTTGGTACCGCCCCCCGACCCGGTTGAGCGAAGGTTGGTATGCCCTGATGTAAATAGCTTCCTTCACAAAATATTCCCGTTCTGTGTCCCAAGATGTTAACACCTTCCAGTGACAACACATAATGTTTGTCCTTTTGGAACTCACAGTAACTACGTTATCATATTACTGATGTTTAAACGAAAACTAATTGTCAAGTCCTGCTATAAAAATCACGTTTTCCGTTCGTGAGACAACTTTATCGATTTCGCCCTAACGAACGCTGTCAGAGTTGGTGATAGCTGAAACAAGAGCTACTATAAAGTGGCATGGTATCGAATCAGAGAGGCTTTCAAAGCTGGATGATATGAACAATGCTTCACGCCCTTGCTAACGGTGATGTCGAGCGTGCATAACGTGTGCTGTGAACATATTACTCTCGCTTCGGCGGGCAGACCAAAACATATCAGAACGCAATCGCTATTTTAAGAGTTATTTATGGAGGCGAGTGAACTTTCGTGATCATGTCAAGTGAACGGGGCGACCTCTGGCACACGGGGGCTAAATTTGGCCACAGATGGTTTCAGGATCAGTCTACTGAGACGCCGCCGCTTTTGGTTCATGCATAGGAGATTCAAAGTTGCGACAGGTTTTATGAATCCTGATAGCATGTAGATGACATGATTTTATTGTTCAAAAGATTGGTCGAATGTGCTGTTGGTTACAACTTTCCAATGTACACTAGTATTAATGTGCAGACTTTCAAAGGCAGCATACAGCATTTGTATTATGGACCAACACTCCGGAATAAACTGGCTGTGGAAGAAATACAGTACAGTAACAATATTCAAAATTAGACTGATAGACACAACGAAAAAGGGTTCATTTTAGCTACGTTTATGTATTATGTCTATGTCTTTGCACCATGATCAGTGACAAAGCCTACAAAACACGGAGAACCTGCGATGGAAATTTTTCAGTACCACGGACAGTGACAAAGCCTACAGAACATGGAGAACCTGCGATGGAAAGTTCAGTACCACGGACAGTGACAAAACCTACAGAACACGGAGAACCTGCGATGGAAAGTTCAGTACCAAGGTCAGTGACAAAGCCTACAGAACACGGAGAACCTGCGATGGAAAGTTCAGTACCACGGACAGTGACAAGCCTATAGAACACGGAGAACCTGCGATGGAAAGTTTCTGTACCACGGTCAGTGACAAAGTCCATAGCTAGAACATGGAAAACCTCTCATAACAAGCTAGTCATTTTAACGATATCCTTTGATCCCTTGAAGTAAGCCCCTGGATACACCTTAAAAGCAGGCATAAACCCTGTAAATACTAGCGGCTTAAGAACAATACCAAGGGCACGTTAAAATATTCAATGAATACCGCACAAGGAAATGACCCAAAGCCCGCATGATACACTTCGTATCTAGGCTAGATAAGATTGTTCATCGCAATTGAAACGAATGAGTCATGTACACGATAGTCACAATGCACTGCTAATAAATGTGGGAATACCAGGAAAAGAAACGTGAGGAAAGGAAAATTCAAACTTACATGAAAATTTAAACTCAACCGATAGTGTGTGTGTGTGTGTGTGTGTGTGTGTGTGTGTGTGTGTGTGTGTGTGTGTGTGTGTGTGTGTGTGTGTGTGTGTGTGTGTGTGTGTCGGGGGAAGGGGGTAATCATGGCATTATCTGTATCTGTATAGCCGGTATAACCGCCCTTCGGCGTAACACACCAGCTTCGCAGGCACGCGGCGCGGCGACAGCTAGGAGCATTACACTGAACGACTTGTCACACCTAACCTTTGAACATACAACTCTAAACATTGTTTAAAGCTATCTAATGATAATGCCCCTTCTGTACTTGGTGACATCGAGTTCCACTCTGCAATAGGTCTAGGAAAGAATGAGTTTTTGAACACCTCAATCCAATTGAAACTTGATAAACCCAACGGTCATTGGCAGCAGGTTTCTTAAAGAAAACACGGCATGCCCGGATAGCAAAATCTAAGTAGTACCCCCTTGTCAGGTTAGTAAATGAATGGTAATCACGGCATTGAAACGAATGGATAGACTGCCATCTGCAATTGAAACTTGATAAACCCAACGGTTGATGGCAGAAGGTTCCTTTAAGAAAACAGGGCATGCCCGGATTGCAAGATCTAAGTACCCCTGCCTTGTCAGGTTAGTAAATGAATGACACACCAGGGAACCGTGTATTACAGAATGTACAGTCACGTCCCAGGTATGGTGACCTGCATAATGCTCCAATGAATATTGCAAGCTGGGTTGTTTTCCATCTCAAATTGCCAATATACAAGATTGATACCCTACAAGACCATAGATTTCCCAACAGTCATTGATTTTGTTCCCCTCCGATGCACCCACATGGAACCGCTCAGGTACTGAAGATTTAATGTGGAAACTGTACACTTTGGAAAGGAAACACACTTTAGATGAAATATGGCTTTCATACTGTAACGTTTGCATTACAATACAGCAAGACAATAACAAATACTAGAGGGTAAGTTGAAAACAGGCCAACCCTTTTGTATATTGTCTGCAAAAAAGGTGCAAGTAAAACAGTATATAATCAGCAAAGAGTCACCCTATTCAGCAATCTACAAAACTTGGTAGGCTCTATCTTTGATGTACATAACATGTCTGAACAATTCTTTTGTAACATTTTACTTAGAAGATCACCCGATTTACACCCAGATACAAACTGTAACATTCTGACAATCACCCAAACTTACGTTATTCATACTAAACGGTTTGTATTAGATTCTCCTACATAGCCTACAAAACATGTTCTTCCTTACCATTTATTGATCCATTTCCACCCATTTGCTGTTCTCTGCTGTTTTTTGTCATGTATTTTGTCACTGTATACCTGTATGTCTGGTGGTGCGGTTAAAATTAGCTATAAGAGTACCTCACCACCATGTCTTCTATTGTGTGTATGCTGTAGACATTCAACGCACATTACTAAAATGGTCCTGCAACATGAAATAGTCCTGTTCAAAACCCCATTTTTGTCAATTGTTTTTATTGACATTTGTTCACACACATAGGGAGAGAGAGAGAAAGAGACAGATTGCAGCATTTCTATACATGAAGTACAGTGTTTGAACTAGATATACATATTATTACTATTAACTACACCTTTTGAACTAGATATACAGATCTAGAGATGCTAAATATACAGCATTCCCTTTCCATTTCAATCCTACCGAAAATACAAGTCAGGTGGCAAGGTGGTCTTGTACACTTATTGATATATTAATAGTCCATCCTGGCATGAGTTGATCAAACCGTATTAATTACAGTCTGTTCTTACACCATTTGTATACTTACTATACAAAACTGGTGTTTCATGCCTACAGGCGGTTTACAGATTTTGTAAAGCAACAAAAATTATTCTTCTAGGCCAACAAGGCAGGCATTTCTAACCTTATACGGCCAGTCAAATGGAAACAGTCTGAAAACTAGAGAGGTAACATTTGCAAAGTAAATGCATAATGTTTACTTTCGCATATGGTCTGATGTGTTAATTCTTACTCAAACATATTTCATATATATGGTCAGACAGGAGTCTAAATCCCTCCTGCTATGAAATTGCAACATGATGTAACCCAACACCAGTTACCATGGTGACAGATGGTCTGGTTCAGCATTGACTAGGTCAGTGTTTGGAACGGAAGAAGAAGAAGAAGAAACAGAGCAAAAACAATATGTTTTCCTTCGGTAAACATATTGATAGGAGATTGACTGTGTGTTGTACCAGGTGGTGGTTAGGGTACAGTGTGGGAAAAGTGAGATATCATAATAATAAAGATAAGAATAAACCTTCAGGTGAGCTTGGCATTCTTCAAAAGAAACAGTCTACATATACCATCTATCATACATACTGTCATAGTGGCATATATGACCTTTACTTAAAGTATATACAGAGAAGCGTGCAATCCATCAACATTTGCAGTGACATTTGGTAGTGCAGGAACGAACCAAGTCCTAATAACAAAATATAGTCTTAGTATTTCAGTGGAGATTGTTGAAAGAGCAAAACATGACAGTAATATACCCAGCATGAAGTTCTCATTATTCCATATTAAAAACACAGCCCTGTGACACATGATATATAATTATTATAACCATAACCTACAGAAAACACCATTAAGTGCTGTAGAATGATATAACGCGATATTGAGCATCTCAAATTTCCGCACACATTTAACTAAGTGTAACAAGCTGACAGACTTAGTTAAAAAGAATAAATGTATCTGTATTTGTGCAGCAAAGCAAGAACCTAAATTCCACATTCCACATGTTGGATCAGGTCTTCTTGTTCCTATGTTGTGCTGACAATCCTAGTGTCGCTGTACTTGACCAAAGGGGCTGTACTGTAAGGCAAACGACAGAAAAGACAGATTATTAATGATATACTAATAATAATAATACATGGTTTATTGGTCAAACATTATCCGTGCAATCGTAGCCTTTTTATAGCACTGAATTGATACAGGGTTTACACTCACATAATACACATGATACATATAACACTTTCTGTGGAACTGTCGCAAGGGTCTGTGCGGCTGCCATTCGGCGCCACAAGGTGACCTCAATACGACTTTCCCCAACCAAAGTTAGGTACCCATTCACACCTGGGTGGAGTAAGGAAAGTCGTGTAAAGTGCCTTTTCCACGGGCACAATGTCGGGGCACATGTCCAGACATGTCCCTGGTACAACTCTGGATCAAAGTTTCATAGTCGAACGCTCTACTACCAGAAGAGAAACACACCTGACACAAATACAGCCAAATAGATGGAGTTCTTTTGTCAACAACATTATGCAACACAGGAGTGTGAAGTTTGTAATTTCAAACATCAGAAACATTCAGATAACATTACAACTACAGTCAAATATTTACTCGTGGCATTTGCATAAAGGACCACCTGGTCATTGCTGACACTTGTCGGTGGTCCTCTAGATTATTTTTCCAATGATCCAGGCATGAAGAATCCTATCTATACTGGCCACATGCCAACTGCCTGCATGTGTGGTTGGTTATTACAGACAGGTTTGTCGGCACAAATATGATTAGGCCTAGGAAAAAAAAGAGTTGTGTTTCCTCAGTTTTCGATATTAGCCAATACATATTATATATATTAGCCGATATTAACAGAAATATTTCCAATACCCTTTGATAGGCGTGATGTGTATGTTAATGCTGGTAGGTAGGGATTATCTTTTTTTCTTTCTTCTTTTTTAATTAGACTTTGGCGATCTCTAGTAATCCAACTTATACAAGTAAAAATTGCATGAGCACATTTTTATTTTCAATGTCAAGGTTGGAAAAGAAATTGTACAACATTTCATCACTCAGGTGTCATATCATGGAGCTAGAAATGGTCAATCAGCTTGAAAATACATGTAAGGGGTCCACCCCCAAAGAAGGCTAGGGTCGGCAGTTTTTTCTAGGGTCGGTTGGGAAACAGAAAACATTTTTAAGACCACGTAAACTTAGATGTAGATACTAAAATATGTAACTGAATATCATTGGTCTGTGTATAGGAAATGTTTCTACAGCTTTTTCTCTGTAATTTCTCATATTCCAATCACAGTGACCTCCAATTGACCTTCTGACCATACCATGTATGTGCCTGAGGCTGGACATTGGGGATGAGAGGTTCAGGTAACAAGAATACAAAAATCATCTCCAATTCACTTAACACTATAATTTCATCTATCATTACATAATTCTCTCTCACTGTACCTTGGATACTTTAATAAGCAATATATCACTATAATGATGGTCATCAAAAAAGAGGTCAGGTCACATTAAGTTATTCATGAAAATGAATTAAATATGAATATGCTGACATCTTATTTTTTAGCGATTGAAACTGACCAGCCCGAGGCCTGGTGGACATCATTACTCATGCGTCATTCTAACATTGGCGTATTGATTTCTGAAGGGCCATAAAACTTGATTACACATCAGTGAGTAACTGGATCCCTGTCAGCTTTTGATGACTCTAACGTCCAGTCATGTCTTCATTATTGGGTCAAATTACCTGACAGGAACTCATGGCAAATTTTTATTTTTAAATTGATATCATGTAAGATTTTTCACTATTTTAAACATCATTGTTTTACACAATTTTCTTGGGCTACAGGACATTTGGGGAGTAAAAGATCAGTGTCACTGCACCACAAAAAAGGGTTGAAGCTGCTGAAGATACCCAAATGAAATTTGAATGCTGTTTGTTTACATTCTTTTTAGGAGCCTCCTAAAAATACAGTGGGCCTGGTGCAACTTACTCTCGTGCTGCGTTGATTCACCCGAAAAGCGAAATAGCGAGGCTAATATGTTGAAAGTTATTAAAACTGACAATCTAGATGAGAAAATTTCAATCATTTCTATTTACAACTTTAGTGCAAAAATCTTACATAATATCGCTTTAAATGCTTGGAACATATAGATATCAAATATTTTGATCGATTGCCAGAAAGATTTGTCATGATGCTTACAACATGCTATTTTATAGACCATATTGATCGGAACATTAGAAGATACAGCAATCAATGTTACATCACATCACGCCTATCAAAGGGTATTGGAAATATTTCTGTTAATATCGGCTAATATATATAATATGTATTGGCTAATATCGAAACTTGCTTTTCTATTCACCCTCTGTAGTACTAGTAGGCTCTCTCAGGATTTGGAGGAAAACTGGAGGCATTAATAATTAGTTAGACCTTCATCTACAGCCATCCTCATGAAAAAATCACTGACCCAGAAGTTTCCGTTTACTGTTTCATGGCCCTTCTGAAGGAATTTAGGCTTTTGGAATTGCCTCCTAATGGAATTATGCTCTTTCAGTTCAAAGAAACGTTGGAATGTGCTTTTTCTACTAAACCCATTTTCAACAGGTAACACGTATGATATAGACATGAAATATTCATTTCTTTTTTCTTTGATCTTCTGGGGGTACGTTATCTTTATGTCCGGACCAAATGTTTCTTTATGGCCCTATTGCCTTTTTCAAAGCCTTTCCTCCTGCAAAGACAAGTGCTTTCTATGAAAATTCAATGTCTTCTTGAGCCTGGAATAAATCCTGTTGTCATCAGAGGGATTTTCAATTACAGGTGGTCTTGGAGCCATAATCTGCCTGTAGATTAGAGCCTGGTCAAATCAGTACAGTGACAACAAGTTTACCACAAAACCTGAGGGTTTCTTGGGACAGTCCTGAATGTGTTGGACAAAATCTAGCAGAACAGAACAGGTGTCTTGTCACATTCATATCCATATAAGGCCACATCAATTTAATAAGTTGGTTCTCAGATTCGGCCACTTCATTTTTCTGATTTGCAAAAAAAAAAAAATTCATGTTCAGAATCAACTCCAAAATTTCAAATGGTTGAAGAAAGCTCCTTGCCTTCCTAGGTGTTACAGTTTTTCCATCTATGAATTCATTGGTTTGATAAAAAGGTTAAAATTCATTGCTTGAATTATAAGCCAGCCTGACCTATAATAGCTTTTGGTAATATCAGAGGATGCCTAGGCCTTTTTTTACTTTGACTTTTTTTCGCCCTGTCGCTTCATATATTTTTTTCTGAAAAAAATCCAAGAACATACAAATCAAGATGGTGTGGCCTTATCAATAAAAAAAAGAGTAAGAAAAAGGCCTTATCTGATGACTCAGAAATTTTAATTCCTGAGATGTCTAAGTTGGGCGGTTGGTTCTTTCTGCCAGTACTTAAAAATTGGCTGATGCCAAAACCTATGGGGTTGAAGGTGGGGCCTTCCTAATGTCAACTGGTAAATTATTGAGACACTCATCTTAAATACTGTCACCTCGTGCCCTGAGAATGTGTGATGATGACAGAGGAGTGAAGATTTAATTTGTCTTCTCACCAGGCAGGGTTCTGGTGTCACCGGCCGATTATTTAGGATTCCAAACCTGCCATGATTGAAGATCAGAGCCCTGACCTTCCCCCCTCCCTGTACCAGGCCAGCAGCAGTGTATTGTCCATGGGCCTATCGACCCTGCTCTTCTTGAAATTAAACCCCAAGGACTGAATAGCATGAGGGTAGCTGCAATATCAACATTTATCTTCTTGCTGTATAATAAAACACAAAATTTCTCCCTTCATAAACTTTATCATCTGAGCAATTACGTATGAAGGTACACCAAATATTTTGCAGCTAAATATGATTTGTTTGCTATTTTCTTCCATCACATTTTGATTGTGCCACTGTACAGTGGATATTGATGCAGTATTCTAAGTTCTAACAACTAGAACAAAAACTCTGGGCCATATTTACATGATTTACTGCAAACAGTGGAATCGTGAAAACAAATTAAAGGAGGGCCAATCTTAAAGCAGCATCCTTACAACTGTTGAAGTTTTAAAGGGGCAACTTCTCTCAGTCTTACAAAATGCATCTGGACATTGCAGATTAAAGAAATAAGCTGATGTTACTACATAAACATGTATATTAAGATTTACTTCTGAAGGGTAGAAATGTTTGAAAGGGTAGAATGGAGGCTAGCAACACCAAGACCACATACAGTTGTACAAACTTCCAGGCAACTTTGACCCCTCATTGGTCTTCGTCACGAAACAGCTGATAGACTCCAATGTGTATCATCAGGTTGTAAAATGGTTAGAAAATCAGTCAACTACAACTGTATATATCAGGTAGCCAATTTTGTTGTATTGGACAGAGCCTTGAATTGATATGTACGTCTCATCCAACACAGATGTCCTCATAATCCCAAACTTTAAATTGTCACATGATGCATTGTGGAATATACCTTCATGGAGCAAGCTAATCCTTCCAATAAATTCACAGCCCACCAGATGGTCCAAACGGCAATGATTTGCAACTCATGGGAGAAAATGTCAGCTTTACCGTATGTTAACTGGAGCACTCGAGATTTGTCATGTCAGAAAATGGATACAATAACAATTTTGCACGACGGAACAAAATGACTGCACATTAACTTTCCATCCAGTCTATTTTTCTTTATATAATCCTGCAGCAGGACGAATTTGAGAGGCAATATTAGTCCACACAGGTAAACCTCAGGCCCAATAGGGGAAAATGACAGGAAATACAGTAATTGTATATTATTAATAACTGTAGAAGTAACATAACTTGAAATTGCTCTGCCAGACATTTTCTGTCTGGTTGAAATATTAGTTGTAATTTTGACACTTTTTGGCAGAAAAAGCAATAACTGATATTTCCATCTTTGCCATTATTATAATCATAAAAATAAAATAAAATAAATCATCATGTTATATATTTGTTGTGATTTTGACACTTTTAGGCAGAAAAATCAATAACTGATATTTTCATCTTTGCCGCTTTTTATAATCATATTCCTCATGTCATAAATTTGTAGTAATTTTGACACTTTTAGGCAAAAAAAACCTTATGATATTTTCATCTTTGCCATTTTTCATAATCATATTCCTCACGTCATATATTTTTTGTAAATTTAACACTTTTAGGCAACAAAAACATGACTGATATTTTCATCTTTGCCATTTTTCATAATCACGTCCCTCAAATTGCTGCTAGTGGGAAGTGGTTTAAACAATATGCAGTGACATGTAAGTTCTCATTTTGTTATCTTGATGTGTCTATTAGGCCAAAGATCCAAAATCATCTCGTTAATATAAAATGAAGACATGTACACAGATGCTCCATCTGCTTCTTGCTACATCCATCATTGTCTATAATTAATTACCCTCACCACCAGTGATTTGTGTATTGAATGTTATCATGTCATGCATTACTTTAAGGGTGATTCATTATGATTTAACAGGCAGTATGACCTGTTGTACACATTTATTCAATGTTAAGGCCACACCGATTTAATTTAATGGATGACATCCTCTGAAGACCCCCAAACTAGTGCGCGTGGGCGAATAAAAAAAAATGCAGGCCAAAAAAAAATGCCACTAAACCACAGGAATACAAAGCTGGTATTGTGAATTTGCGGCAGTACTTAGCGACGTATACGACAAGCGGGCACATGCTGGCTTTTTGTGGAATCTATGAATCAGCACTGTATGTATGTTCTGAGTTCTTGATCCTCCAGAGTTACCACTGTGACAGGCTCCGCTAACTACCATGGACTACTACCATGGACTACCCAGACCTACAGCCAAGCCAGAGCCTCGGAGGACGTGATCTTTTTATTTTTTTTGGAGAACAGGCAAAAATCAATGCGTGCGTAGATGTCATCCATAAAATTAAGTCGGTGTGGCCTAACAAAGAATTGACTTCATGGACGTTTGCTGCCACCACTGATTATTCCTAACCCTCTCACTAGAAACACATGCTGTATGCACTGCATGCAACATCTTTCTGATTATAGATTTGTCTGCATTTAAATGCCCTGAAATTAGTGTAATCCTGGCATGGGATATAATTCAGGAATTACACTGTGACACTAAATATTTTAAAAACCTATAAAACATACAATTTTCTATTTACACGTTCATGTATGAGGCTAGATGTCTACATGTCAAGTGCCCTCTAGTACCCTGTACTGGCACTGCAACCTCTTCAATACCTGAGTGCTTTTTATTTCAGTACTATAATATAATAGCATTCTTTTTCCATTGATCGATGCCGAGCCACACGTGTGATGTCTATTATACCATATTTGTTGACACACTCCACCAGAGCATAGACAAATTACTAGTATACTCTATGGTGGCCAAACTCTACCTGATTATTCTGCCTGTTTCGATAGATTTTCCTATTTTGCAGCCACTATTAATTTAGTAAGCATAATTAGTCTGGTGGAGACTAATGTTAATCATTTTGAAAATTCAATATGATTTCAATAGTACTGCCTCAAAATGCTTCCGGAAAACACAACAACTTCAGTGTAAATGCTGCAACTGATAGGGATAACATTTCTGGTCAGACCAGTTTGTAAGTTGTTTAAAAAAAATAGAAACATTTGCAAAGAAAAGGCATTATGTTTACCTTCGCATATGATCTGCTCTGTTAAATCTTACTCAAACTCAAACACGTTCATATATACGGTCAGACTGGAGTCTAAATCCCTCCTGCTATAAAACTGCAACATGATATAATCCAACACTTGTTACCATGGTAACAGACATGGTTCAGGTCATTGAGGTCACTGTTTGGAGAAGAAGAAAAATAGGAAACGTAGCAAAAACAATATGTTTTCCTTTGGTAAACATAACAAACAAACAGCTTACCACCAGCCTGACTGAGAACATGGCGGTGTTTCCTTTTTTGGTCATGCCAGGGGCGGTGACCATCCCATTGGCCGCGATGCCCACGTGATGGTCCCGACACAACACAGACTCCAGCGTGACAAACTTGCTGACTGTCTCGTGGAGACGAAACACACTGGACTTGTCAGTCCCATTCCCCTGCAATACAAAAGACAAGCACAGAGTGACTGAAGGTTCTCATCTCGTCTACATCAGTTTCAACATGGCCGCATTTTTGGAGCACGTTGGCAGAACGTACTGCACGTGCGAAAAAACCCTGATTTTTTACGGTTTTCATTGGATGTTTGGTGAACGTTGCATCAGAATTTTGACCAATGCAGATGATATGTTTTCTACAGATATGTGGAAACTACAGATGGGATGTTAACCTTATATGCGCAAATACAACCTTATATGTTAAGTTCTGCCAAAGTTCTATGCACAGTACATTATGGGTTTCGTGCAGGTGCAGTATGTTCTGCCGACATTGTCATTTTTGTTAGTAACACTAAATAAACCAATTTTTCTCAATATGCACACTACCAAAAATGCCAATCTTGTTTTTCTTCAGAGAAGAAAACTTTTCTTCCACTGAGAAAATTATTCTTCACCCAAGAAAAAAATCTTGTCCATGAGACAAGAATTTCAAGAAACTGCATTTTAGCATATTTTTCTTGTGGTAAGATTTCTTTTCTTATGTATCTTGAACTAAATATCCTTAGAATATTATTCTTGCAGTAAGAATTTCTAAGTTTTCTAGAAAACCATTCTGTACACTAGAAAAGATTTCTTGAACTAAGATCTAACTCTTCTTGTAGCAAGAAAAATATTCTCCCCACAAGAAAAGATTTCTTGAACTAAGAGCTAACTGTTCTTGTAGCAAGAAAACCATTCTGTACACAAGAAAAGATTTCTTGAACTAAGAGCTAACTGTTCTTGTAGCAAGAAAACCATTCTCCCCACAAGAAAAGACTTCTTGAACTAACATCTAACTGTTCTTGTGGCAAGAAAACCATTCTGTACACAAGGAAATATTTCTTGAACTGTGAGCTAACTGTGCTTGCAGCAAGAAAACCATTCAAGAAGAGATTTCTTGAACTAAGAGCTAACTGTTCTTGTAGCAAGAAAACCATTCTGTACACAAGAAAAGATTTCTTGAAATAAGAGCTGACTCTGTTCTTGTAGCAAGAAAACCATTCTGCCCATAAGAAAAGAAATACAATGTATATAGTGCTAAATATAAAACAGACAATAATGTATAGCAACTAAATGTTATTTTGAAAAGCATTTAGACAGTATAGAGATGTTTATTATCACATCGATTTTTGTACAATGTATCTAATTAAAAATATAAAATCAGTCCATCAACATTCTTGGAATGGAAACAGTTTAACAGTAACTTTCAAAATATTATACGATGTAACTAACAAGCCATTATGATTTCAGAATACAGATCGTATCACATTCTGATCTGAAGCATATTCAGCAAAAACTGCAGTTTTCGCAAATAGAATTGACAAAGTCACACCCTTTGGACACCTGAAAAACAACAGGAAAGACTTGTGTTAGTTTGCATGCGAGCACTGAAGGCAACAAGTCAAGAGAGGATGCTAAAATACTATTTTTATTACTTGGAGTAAACAATTTAAAATTATATCATAAAGCACTGTAATAAACTTTACTATACAATACACCAGAGATATATGATTTGACTTTGAAATCAACCCCAATGGCGTTGTAACAATATTTGGGCTATGAAGTCTAAAAACAATGTCAACAGATCTTATAGGTGGGGAGGGGGGCGCACTTACCTTCAATCTGTTTGGTTTCATGCTTTTTCTGTTGCAAAGTTGGTTCCTTCAGCAAGCTGACCACGATCACCATTGCTTCACATGTACACAAGGTCCTTTTTGATTTGATTTTGACTTCAAATCTGACATGAGTCAGTAACTGACAAAAATAAGTAACCAGCCCTGCTCCTACATCTGACTTATGTTCAAAACCCCCTAACTGCATTCTGGGATTTGAATCAACCAATCAGGGGTTTAGAAAAGGTCACATGAAAAGAAAAAACTAGAAAAAAGTTCTTACATCATCTTGAACATTACCAGGCAAAATAAGAATCATCTTTCTTAAACTGTCTGGTATTTTCTTGAATGTTGCTAAGAAAAACAAGAATGGCCTTTCTTAAACTTTCTAGGGAAGAAAATCAAGAATGTTTAAGAATATAATGCTAGCCATATCTTCAGCCTAATCAAAGATTAATTTTATATGAGACTTTCTTGTTTTTTTTTCTTATCAGTATTTGTCAAGAAAGATAAGAACTTAATTCTTGTATTTTCTTAAATGTTGCCAAGAAAAACAAGAATGATCATTCTCAAGCTTTCTAGTCAAGAAAAACAAGAAACTTCAAGAAAGAAACACCAAGCAGAGCTTTATTCTAATAATACTAGATTTAGATAATTAAATTTCTTGCTTTTCCAATCAGTGTTTGCCAAGAAAGGCAATAACCAAATTCTTGTATTTTCTTAAACATTGCAAAGAAAAACAAGAATGGCCTTTATCAATCGTTCTAGGTAACATGTCATGTTACATGAACAAGAAAGTTTTTGACATACACAAGAAAAAGAACTTAAATCTGACCACTTTGATGTCAGGTAAGAAAGAAATCTTCCATGGAGATTAAATAAGGAAATTTAACTAAGTCTGAGGGAATTTTAAGATTAAAAGAATTTTAATCTTGTAAATTAGAATCTTCCCTAGAAATATTGTCTTTACTAAAGAAATTTCAAGATTAAAAGAATACTAATCTTGGAAGTTAGAATCTCCTCTAGAAATATTTCTTCACCGAAGAAAAATCAAGATTTAAAGAAGCCTATTTTAGAAAAATTATCTCCACTCAAGAAAAATGAGAAAATTGTTCTTGGTGCAAGAATGTAGGTATACAGAAAATTTATTTTTTTCTTATTTTTTTCTTATTATTCTCCCCCAAAGAAAAATTTTCTTCCCATGAGAAAATAAGAAAAACAAGAAAAAGCATTTTTGGTAGTGCATGAAGTAAGCATTCCTCAGTCTTGTAGGACCATGAAAAGGTAATAAAAGCTTCTACTCTATTGTACTTATTCTCTCAATGTTGAAAGTAAGTGAAGACATGATATAGATTAATGTGCTAGAAAAAACTCTGATACTTACAGTGCCAGTGGTGACGCCCCCTACCACAGCCAAGTGAAATGCAGGGTTTGCACAGTTCCTCAGTATGACTTGGTTCGACCCACAGTTGGTCACAATAAACTGGGCTGAAAATGTCAGAGCGACGTTTCTTCAGGACTACAAATTTAATATTTTTTCATCAGTGGGTATCTCTATGTTCTCAGTAGCAAAAGTTTGCAGTCTGAGAAAAACATTCTGAGAGAAGTTCGCGGTCTGAGAGACATGTGCGCAGAACTTAACACGTTTGCAGCAGGCGCAACAAAAAAGAAAGTACACAAATTATTTGTTCACAGTAATGATTAAAGTTTGCAGTACAGACAGAAGTGACCACAACAACCATGAACATAAACTTAAACTACCAGGGGAAAATTGTGAATCACAGTAGTAGCGGTACTACTAGTAGGTGAAGTAATACAATTAGTACTGAAAAATGTTGATGACGTCACTCACTCTTTCATGTGGTTTTCTGTTGTAAGACTTTGTTCATTTTTAACCCTGAAGAAATGTAGCACATGTACTCAGGTATACGTAATTCAATTTTCTTTCTCTGTGTAATTTGGTTATACAGTATTCCAAAGGCTAATACAATTATGCTGTTCACACCACATGCACATCAAGTCTACTCTCCTATGGTGCAGCACTGAAGACCCCCCCCCCCCCACAAGGCTCAAAGGTCCACTTTTTATCTTAAGGTCCAAGATATTTCTTCAAAAGGTGGACTGATTTGTATCACCAGCAGGGCTGGAATCCTAGAAAAACTGCTCACTTTGTCATTGAATAAAAAGTTATCTCTGATTTTTTCCTTTGAAATCCTCTAAAAAACACTGGAAATGCCTTTTCAGAAGGTTCGATTTTCAAAATTTTCCATGACCCTGAACCCCCTAGGAAGCTCTAGACATTGGAAAGAACCCCCCCCCCCAAATGAAAATCCTGGCAACAGGCATGCTACAGAAGTTTGCTAACTCGTACCTCCTGCCTCCTGTCCCCCCAGGGCGTCCACCGCTCCATTGGGCATCACCCGCAAGGCACGCTGGGTAACCTTGGAGTACAGCTGCAGCACATTGCCTGTGGAGAATAGGGCCTGCGAAGGGGGAGGGGGAAATATTTTGTCAATATCAACTTTCTTATGGATAACTTTCTCAAAGACTTGTCTAATGCAAGGAAGTCTTTTCTGCAGTAAAAGGAATGCAGAAAATTACATTCACAAATGTCATCACTTGGGGTTAGCGGTAAATTTGTGCATTGTCATATGTAATGTTTCCTTGGCACGATGAAGTAAACAGAATTCAGAGCTTTTATAGAGTTGTTTGTCTATAATTATATGGCTTGCAATCATTACATTTTGTATAAAAGTAGCTACATGGAAGCAGATTGCTATTGGATAAAACCACCTGTCCCGACTTTAAAGTGCATTATAAGTAACCATATTCCTTCATGACAAGATACCCTGTCAATGTCGGACTTTGTCTAAGACTATACAAGAATGGCACCAACCAAAATAAGAGGTCTGGAACAACTCACCAGGGTGTGGCTGACCTTGGACCCGTCCACGGCATGGTTGATCTCCCGTTCCATGCCCTTGGCCAGGGCACTCAGCCCTTTCCCTGTCAGACTAACTAACCCTCCTAGAGCCGAGCCTGCTGCAGCCTAAAGTCATACAACATACACAGATAAAAACACAACACATTAGACATAAAACAATGGTAACATTTGCAAAGCAAATTGAATTTTCATAATGTTTACCTTCACATAAGGAGAGTTGGGCAGTTCATATACAAACTGCTACTAGTGCTAGGGAGCACCACTGCATTATACGGAATAAATATACTCACAGTTGCCTTGTACCCCATGGATGGACCTCCTGGTTTGGGGGCAGCCTGAGGAAACAACAAAGGTGTACAGCAAATGAAAGATTGCCAACTACGTTGCACCAAGACATTATGAAATTTAACATTAATAAATGAATCTATGAGCCTGTGAAGCTGGTGTGTTACGCCAAAGGGCAGTTATACTGGCTATGATCGATGAGTTTACAGATAGAGAATCTCCTGATACTTTTCTCTTAGTTTCCATGTTGGTCTTCCAGCATTATCTTATTAAGTCCAAGAATTAACAAACTAAATTGGTCTTGTTTCAGCACACTGACAGTTTTCTTACACAGGTGCATATACAAAGGGGGCAAATGTGTCACAACTAGACCAGTACTTACACTCACCGTGATGACTTGTGGGACAGCTGCAGGCTGGATGTACACATTGGTCTGTCCAGGGGGGGCGTAACCATACCCCCCTGGTGGAGCCTGAGGGGGTGGTGCCCCCTGAGGGGGTTGTGCGGCTCCAGGTGGCCCCCACTGGTTGGGGTTGTAAGGGGGAGGGGGGCCGGCAGCAGCATACGGAGGGGGTTGCATAGGTTGTGCTGGGGGTGCGTACCCGGGAGCACCAGGGGGTGGGGCATAGCCCTGGGGTGGGCCCTGGGGAGGGTAGGCTGGGTCTTTGGACATTGCTGAAAAATAAACAAGTCATAAACATACACAACTATACAGTAGGTCTAAAATGGTCTGCCTAATGTAACACCTCTGAGTTATAATTATAGTAGTTTATTCACTTCACCAGATCTAGAAATGTTCATGTCAGGTCTGCACTAGGGTCAGTTTCAGAATCAGATACTAGTAGTCTATGCAGCTACAATAGACTAAATTGTTTCGTTTTCAATGTCCTTGGTTTTAACAGGTATGCAATAAATTATTCACGATAATTACATCTCGCCCTCCCCACAACAGTCCCCAGTGTACCTGAGCATACAGTTACTGTATCCTAAATTTCAGACATACATGTATTGTGATCTTTCAATGTTTCCAACCCAAAGATAGCAAGCATACCATACAAATGTACATGTGTTCATGCAGCTAATATTCATTATGAAGTCGATGACACAAATTAAAAGATTAAATCCTATTCATGATATTTGTTGGACTGGCTAATATTAGAAAATGTCTGACAAATACCGGTACTACCGGTATACTGACAGGTATTGTCACTGTACGACAAACACTTAAATCTACTATAGTATGTTCTATTAACACTAGACTATTGTCACTTGCTCAATGTGTCGTCTATCACACACCTGTTTCATGATATACATGTATTCTACTCTACTCAACTCTATAATTCTACTTCCGGTTTGACTAACTTCTTGTTGTAAAGTCTTCAAAATCGCCTGACATGACATCGAAACCAGTATACAGAAGCACAACATGTTTAGGACGCCGATAATCTTACAGACACTTAAATATTAACCAACCTTTCAGCTCCAAATGTGATCACTTGTAGGATAACAAAGTACGCAGTTCTCCGTGACTCAAGCACAAGTGACGATTACGTCACGATCGGGATGGTACATTGTTAGTTTTCTTTGGACATCGGCTACGGAGCAAAAATGGCTGTGCATTGATATCCGTCCTTTATTATCTAAAAATATAGTTGGATTTCAGAATAAAAATCACAAACACACAAGCATTCATGCATGGATACGAAATTTCTGACGACACTAAACAACCACCCCGATAGTGTTTAGACGGTCCCTAATAGTCTATCGCCCCGCCCACACTCAGGTGGTTTCGGAAACACGGTCAGACCGCTCACGAGCGCCACCTACCGGATCGATTCAACACCTTCATCCTCACCACCACTAGCCAGGTTTCAGATAATATCGCTGTTTTCTTACCTCAAAATATCCATTGATTTTAAACATGCTTCGCTCTGACGTAGAGTTAGAAACTGCTACAGGTGAACTTTGCATACGCAAGGGGTTCTCCTGAAAAATCATGTTTCCCACTGTCAATTCTTGTGTACCTTAATCTAATTATAAGCTACATGTATGTATGTATGTATGTATGTATGTATGTATGTATGAAATAAAACCTCTTATGGGGAGGAAAATGAGTCGAGTTGAAACTTTTTCGAAGTAAGCCTTTATTTTTTCATGATGAGTATGCGCTTTGTTGGGATTTAAGCTTTAAAACGTAATATATTATGTAATACTGTATCGCACATCTTGTCTATTTACACACTTTCAGTACTACTTAATGTCACCATTGTAATTTTCTGAAAAACAACAGTCAGCAGCTTCCCACCAACAGATACAGAGTGCGGAGCCACCGATACAACATACAATTGACAATTAATATTGTAAGGTCTCACAAGAGCATGACATTTAAGAACACAGCACAAAAAAGACATAAATTAACATAAATAGGAAAGATGAAATACCAAAGGGTGAACCAATCTTTTGAATAATAAAATATCACTAGAACATCAGAAGCATCTTCAGAATTTTGTTTGACTGTAATGCATAGTGAACTATGATAGATTTGCCACTCTATATCATACTCATAGTTATTATTAGGATATCATATCTACTGTATCTGTACTTAAAACATGTGTCTTTTTTGTGAATCAACTCCAGATATTTCACTTTTGTCAGATATTGACTAGATATCTAATTTTTGGGAAAGCTTCCATGCAAGCCATAATAATCAGCTACAGCGTTATCAACTATGCTTATTTTTGTACTGGGCATTTCTTACAATGACATCTGTCATATGCTTGCTCAATATCAATACAGAAAATAGAATGTACCTTAGTGTCTTGACACAGCACATGTATTAGTTCTTCACTGTCTACAACAATTACTAGCAAATGGGAAAGCTATATAAGAAGTAGGAAAATGAGAAAACATAGAACAAAATATTGAAACTGATTGGTGTCTCGTGTCATCTCGTTCCTTGTCCAACATAGGAATATTGATAATTCTGTACTTATATCCACCTGTACATATCTACATAAGTACCAAGTGTTTAATATTTTATTCAATCATAACTTTCACCACATTCCTGGCCTGTACATTGTATATCTTCTACTTGTTGGATCAGTGTTGTACTTTGTCACGGTTCTTGTCTGTCCTCTCACTACATGCAATCATACTACCACAAACTACAGTGAAGCTAATACAGGTAATTTTAGCAATGGATTTATACATCTTTTCATACTACCATTACCAATAGTAGATAATGGCAAAGGGTATACATAATTACTACAAATTATGTCATATATGGAACAAATTGTACATGTAACGTTTGAGATATCTTAGTTGACACCTAGTACATTCATATTACAAAGCTACAGATGCTTGTGATCATGCACAGGTTGTGTTAATTGTTGCAGAGTTTTTTATTTTAACCTCTATGGACTGTTGTATCACTTCTTCTTCTTGTCCTCCACCTCTTCGTATGCTGGGGGTGGGTCCTGTGGAAAAATGGCAGATAACAATGAATTTTACAACAGTGAAGATGTGAATTTAGACTTCAATGCTGGACACTATTTCACTACATATAGTGGCAGTTCATAGTTGTTTTATTTTTACCTTTGCCAGAATGAAATGATTCAATACTATATAGTACACACACATATTGGTACAACTCTGTTAGAAAACAGTTGTCAAAGTGTAAGAACCTATAGTGTGTCAGTACTTACCTGTGGAACAGGCTGTTGTTGGGGCAGGTACACATTGTGGGGGTTGTTAGGGTCATAGTAAGCACTGGCTGCTGCCTCCTGGGCCTTCGCATCTGTAACACATAAAACTTACATTGTTTTTCATTGGAAAATGCTACCACACGATTTTTTAAAAACCCTATTGCCTGCAATGACAATATACACATGTATGTACATGCAATAGCACTGTGTTGAAAGACAGTTCTATTTTACACCAGAACCTTATACACTTTTCCATTTCATGGCTTTAACTGTAGAAAAGTGCAAGTTAAGTTGAAACACAATGGTCTTACCAGCCGGGTTCATTCCAGGCGGTGGTGCAGAGGCGTACAACCCAGGCCCAGGGTACGGCGGCGGTGGGGCACCGTACGCTCCGTTCGCCATGGGTGGTGCCGTGGGGTACGCCGGGGGTGCGTAGGCAGGGTCAAACACTCCTGGGGGAGGGGGACCGGGGGCATACGCTCCGTTAGGAGGGGGCATGTACACATTGCCCATAGGCATGGGGGGAGCTCTGTTACCATTGCGAGAAGCTGAAAAATGAAAATAAAAAGCCAAATTAAAGGACATATACTTGCAAATAAATGAGAAAAAATGTCTACATGATTTGGTACAGTATGGTTCTGGACCTGAATCTAATGCAGTGTTCCCTAAAAAAGAAATACCAGTAACAGTATGCAAGCCAAAGCACAGTGTTCTTGCTTTGGACAATTAAAAACACAGCAAGGCAGCCATATTGTTGTTTTCTGCCTAAATACATGTAACTAGGCACAAAGACAACAAGAAACACAAATAAGACAATGAAATATGATTATGAAAAGCTCTTGCAAAAGAGCTCTCAACTGTAAAGCATCTACCCGTTATGCAATGGTGTCAATATACTATAGTAGGGTAGGATAATTGCAAGTTGCATTCAGCCTGAACTATCAGGACACTCAGTGACCCACCTTCACTGCCCAGTTTTAGCAGGCCTTGTCCAAACTCAATGGCTCCCCCGTGGTTAAACGTAAACTTGAAGACAACCTTTCCTTCCCAGCCCCCACCAGGTTCAGCGCTGACTTTGCCCTTGATAGCGTTAGCCCCGAACATGGGCTGTTTGATCTCCACTCCCTTCATCAGGTGGAAGGGCATGTGAAACGACTGCATCAGGTCACGACCTTTGGTGTGGAAGATCACCTGGAAGTAGGTTTACAGTCACTGTAACTAACATTTTGTAGATACATGTATGCCAGACTCAGAGCTAACAAGAGACTGAGAAACTGTGCAAAGAAAGGTTTTTTATGCTACCAGTATACAAGTACTGCTATGTACATGTAATGAAGAATACTGATGTAAAATAAGACTTATTGATACTGTCTTTGCAGCCACATAAGATCTGCTTGGAGTGTAACACTAGTAACATTAGTGTAACACTATGTACACAGTATATGGCTACTAGAAAACCTTGGCCAGCACATACACATGTAGATGTACGTCTACAAACATAGCAGAGTCCATAGGATGTAATGTGGATATTTTGGCTTCTAAGCAGCTTACACTAGTTACAGTTTTATTAAGAAAATCAGCCTTGCAGGATTGAGGTTCATGTACTACAAGCGGAATTGCACTGATTTGTACAATAACAAGCTTAACATTATAGGCCAGTAACGTTTTGTACAATCTTGGATATGCCTACTAGTATACAACTTGTCAAAACTATTGGACACCTGAACATAGCTCATGGAAGGTCCTGTACTTCTGCCAGTACTTACTCTGTAGTTAGTCAGGAACACCTTTCCCTTCTTGGTGCCTTTGAGGTGGTCAGACAAGGGGCCAGGCTCTGGGTCCTCAAACACCAACTCTACACCATCATAGTCCATCACAATACTGATCAAACAAAAATATGAACACTTTTATTCTTAAGTTGGAATTTTTAGAATAGTTTCTACATTATTCTATGTGGTTATATAAGTTGTGTGAATAAATTTACTGTTGTGTAACAGCATTTATGTAATAGTACATATACAGTACACGCCTACAAAATCGGACATCGATATAATTTTTTGCAAGCTGTATCATTTTTCAATACTGAACAAAATGATTACCACTTGGTCCTCTGTCACTGTCGTCATATTTCTTTACATACTATCTAAAGATTTTTCTTTAATTTCACACAATCTTCGTGGTATGAGATGGCCTGGTGTAGATACAAGAAGCATATACGTGCTTCAAGAGGGTTATGACGACATGATCTCTTTTAGTATCCTGAAACAGGAAGTGTTCACATTCGAGCACGAATTTTCACCACAAAATGATCCTAACAACCCTAAAATACCACATCCGCAGAGGCCTGGTGTCCTTAGCTAAGAGATAACACAAGAATAGGGTGGAAAATGTGGCCGTACCGTTCTCCATGGAAGACCAAAACCCCGCCGTTCTGATGGTGCGATCTGTTCACCGCCATCTTGGACTGTGTAGTGATGATGATGACGAATTTTCACGTGACGTCATGGTTGACCTCTGACATGCACAACAAAGTCGATAAACACAATCAATGTGGATCAGAGATTGGTTTATAAACCTCCTTGCCTCGAGCATATCCGTATTTTGTTGACCGGAAAGCAAAGGTAGAGCAGCGCCTCTTCAAGAATATGATGATAAATTGGTTGAGACACGTTTTCAGACAATAATTTTGGTCCTTTCGTTCACACGAACCCCAGGTTGTTTTGAAAATCATACACATTTCTTTCATCTTTGGCCATCATGATCAAGCCTTTTCTTTGTAAAATTGTCCATCCTGAACTTTAATATGATTAGAATAAATCCTACGTTCTTACACAAACTTTTGAAGTGAAAATAACACTCATTCGCAGACAACCCGATACTAAACCCGGATTCCGTGCCAACCACCTGTTATGTTACCCTTGCCGAAATACTAGTATAAGACCGTGTATGTTTTCAGTGGTGTATCTGTATGTTACTATTCATTTCTTTGGTCAGCATGATCAAGCCTTTTCTCTGCAAAATTGCCCGACCTCAACTACCATTCTACCTTCTTACGGAAACTTTTGAAGTGAAAATAACTCTCAGTAGCAGGCCTTGTCGCCGGCATACTCAACCCAGATTAACATTAAGTTCCAACCACCTGTTGATGTTACCCTTGCCAAAATATAAGACCGTGTGTACATGTGTTCAGCGGTGCATGTTGCTATTGGGTTCTATATATAATAGTCCATGTATGCCCGAGATGCTCTTCAAACATGACGATTGTTGGCTTGGCAAGACTTTATGGTCCCGAAAATCTTGGGGGAATATCGACCTCTAGGTCGCCAGCTCAGCTTGACCTACCTTCGCGTCGCTAAGCAACGAAAGGTCGCCTTACCTGTGAGCCTTCCGCAAGGTGCTCGCACTCCTAGCACCCTGTCTTTACCTTCTCAGGACATTCATACGAGTCACAATGCCACCAAAGCCCGTAGCCGCAAAGGCAAAACCGAAGCCCAAATCGACTCCCCAGCCGGCTCCTGGTGCTCGTCCTGGGGGATTGAGAAGGCATGGTGCCGCCCCCCCTGCCAAAGCTCGGGCCCCGGCTGTCACCACAACCAAGGGTAAGTAGGGTAAGGTAGAACAGGGGCGGAGCTGTCAATGTAGCTCTGCTTGTGGGACCTGATGCTAAGAAATTAGGGAAAGGGGATCGAGGTGTAGGTATTGTTCTTAAAATTCACTGAGGTCGCTGTTGTCGTTCTTGTGTGATTGTTAAAAAAATCCATTCGAATTTTTACCTGACAGCCTGTGACAATATTGATTCTTACGGACGAGACGTAGAGAACCCGTCGGGAGCAATGTTCAATGGAATAACTCTTCTTGTATGAGCTATGAATCATAATCTAACGACGCCTGGAGACGGAGTGTAGCTGTATGTTCGGATATTACGATGTTGCTGTTCTTGTAACATCATATACTGGTACTATATACATGTAATGTTATATGGCTAGTATTAGTCACTGCGCCAGTCACTTCGTCTCAAACCAACCTAGATTCTGTATATTTGAAGCCCCGCCTTCCAAAGATCTATAAAAACTTTAGATATCATGCACAGAAGCACTGAAGGCAGCTCAAAGTCTTCGTAGGCTTTCTACTGATATGATTCCATCTTGTCGGACAGTCCGCCAGTTATACACAGGCTAAGACTTTGCACGACGTATTGACATAGTCACTGACCTGTGCCTGTGGCTGGCCTATTGACAGGATTTGTTAGCTCAGGGGAACAGACATAATGGGAGACTGCACGTAGTTCATACGGCTGTCGGACAATTGTCACGATGTGTTGAAGTCGACTTATGCTGATCAACATCATACTTATAAATACGAGCCTTTGCATCTTTAGGATAGCACCACTGTTTCATTACAGACAAACCAGCTGCAGAGAAACCAAAGGAGCTCGAGATACCAGAAGTGAAAATAGAGCTCAAGCAGTTGGTCGACGTGCTGATCAACGACACAGGCGGCAAGATCAAAGATTCGGGAAAGTAGGAAATATCAACATCTTCGTCGTGCATGCCTATAATAAAAATTATAACTTTTGTGGTAATTAATATCGTTTTCAACCCTATGGCACAATAAATGTCGATGATTTATACTTCTTGATATAACTGCGGTACGACCGTACGTGCAATATCAATTGTCAACTTTAAAGTTATGACGAGGTAACTCATATCACTGTTAAAATCTTCAACTTGACTTTTGTGTTCCATATGGCAGATGGCCACTAGTTATTGACGAGTCCGACCGGGTGTCTACGTTCCTGCGATATCAGGACACAAACTACCTGAACGCCAAGAACCCCGGGGACATGGAGCCTGAGAGGATACGTATGGCGATCATTGGGGGAATCAGGTAGCCTCCCCCAGGTCTTTCTACGGGAATACGAATCGTAGAATTCGGCAAAAAAGACAGTAAAATTGGCCAAGGGAGTCCGGCCGCAAGAAGGTAGTTTCTTTCCCTCCGTCCTGTCAAACCTACAAGGCGGCCAACTCCCCTCGCAAATATTCTCCTTTTATAGCCAGCGTAGTTAGTTTGGTAGAGACTAGGAATCAGGTCTGTAAACAGGCTCATAAAAGTACTAGTACATGTACATAGCGACGATCAGCGCATGCATACTAGTATGCGATAACTGACATGTATTGCTCAAGCAGAGTAAAAACAAATTTACAGTTTCCCATACAAACCAATGGTCAACGCATTACCCACAGTCACAAACATATACTGCTCTCTGACTCTCGCACACTCGGTAAGAGGGTTCCAAAAAAAAGTACAGTTTCCCATGCCGGGAATCGAACCCGGGCCGTGTGGGTGAAAGCCACAAATCCTAACCACTAGACCACATGGGATAAGGTGCGGTATAACCTTCCAGAAATATACCAAATAAAAATCATTATGTTGCATCGTGTGTACAGCAGAGCAACATCGATAATGGCCTGCAGATTCGTGGATGCCACACGTATGTAGTTGAAAGGTAAAAAATGGTACAAAAAGTATGTATGTAGAAAGGTGTAAAAGGTTTTAAGAAAGGAGAAAATATCAATGCATTTCCACTTCTGATGTAATGTTTGTTTGTTTGTTTGTTTGTTTGTAGGTTTGGGAAGCCGGTAGTGCTGGACATGATGGACACAAACATGTTTCATGCCGCCGCCGACAAGTTTGACGTGGTGCAGAAGGGCCTTCTGGAGTCGGTAATGACCAAGGACATCCTTGTCGATCAGAAGTAAGCGGTTTATATTTCATCACTATATAATGAACAGTACACTAATTGATGTGTAATTCCAAAGTAAACACATCTAATTATGACGATGACTCTTTCGGAAAGAAAGGGGACCCTTATCAAGAAATTGAGTTAAATACGTGTTCATTCATCTGTTTATTTAAACAGTGTCTAGGAGAAATGAGAAAATGAAAAAGTTGCGCCGAGACCTACGCCGAAATCAAACATTGTTTCTAAGTAGTTAAAAAAATTACCCACCTTGCAACTACTTAAGCTTAACACTGTTGTGCACAAGGTAGAATTTGGAAAATAATCTTTTTGACCTGTCAGACATCCACTTATAAGTTGAGCAGACCCTTTTAACTTGAGCGGACAGTAGTACTAGTTGAGTCTGTTTAGTATTTCCATACTGTACCTTCTCTGTCTCTGTACAATTGAAAGCAATTAGCCCCCGGGCATGAATTTGCAAATAAAGACTTTATTCCTGCAGGTACGTATCTCTTGTGAAGGACTCGGACCCGGATGAGTACACGGACCAGTCGTCGGCATTCCGCCATGGCATGGTGGACGGCTTCAGGTTCTTCCTCATCACAAACATGGCGTCCCCTCCGCTTGAACTCATGCAGAGGACTTACGTCATCAGGGTGCAGTGAACTGTACTGGCCTTGTCTCTCTTCCGGATCCCAACTTGTGTACGTTTATGTTAAACTAGTGTGGAGGATCATGATTTAGGAACGTATGTCATTAGTCCACAAGAACGTGCAATTAATGAACACGATAGTAACTAACGTTACCTACTACCTTAGTCCCGCGCTCTGACCTAGTCATTGGGAGGACATGTACAAGGTCTAGGTAGACATGAAAATGATGAATTATGATTAATTAACATTTGCTTCTACTTTCGGATCCCGCCTTGTCTTTGTACTAGTACCGTATAATGTAATTGGGATATATCGCGGGTGTAAATCAGCGCACATCAATGTTCCTAAGTCGTTGATTGCAGCAAAATATTTCTAACTAATCGTTTTTTTTATGGATTGGTTATATTTTTAATAAAATTACTTTTTGATGATGAAACTTAGATGCCTCATGGAATGAAATACTATTATCACGGGTTTGTGTGTAGAGAATATAACGTTACGTGTACGTAATTCTATCTGCGCAATATCAAATCTTACACGAATTAAATGATGTTACAAATATACGATTTCATGAAAGACTACCACGTAACGTTAGATACAACGGTAGAGTTGTCTCTTCGCCGGTTCTCTAATAAAGTCTTATATACGTAACGATCAACCCTTGACAACATTTTAGTGCACAATGTAAATAGAAACTGCGATAAGGTTGATTGAAATAACGTTAAAGCTTTAACGTTATATGTAACGTTAACGTTAACCAATAACCACACTATGTCTCCATGTTCGTGCGCAAGTAACATTTCAGAAACGATATTGTTCAGGTCCAGCTAAACCGTTTAAATGTTGTCGCTTCTCCATTGAAAAAAAAAGACGCAAGCTCCTAAGACCCCTTATCAGCTAGTATAATCAGCTCTCCTTGAGTACCCTTGAGAATATTAGCCAGTCAACGGTTGTAGCAGACGACAAGGTGGCCACACCCCTTTCCGTTTGCCATAATCCTCATTTGAGTTTCCCGCCATTTGTCGTTTCATTACCGACCAATCAGGGAACAGAACGGACGCTTGTTTGTCACGTGACGACGCGGCCAGCTGATTTCAGTTTGAGCGGTCATTTCGAGACGAACAGTAGCAAGTAGCAGACGTCGCGCAGATTTAGTAGTAATTCTTGCATATCTACAGCCTCAAACTCTCAGGGAATAGTCATGAAAGGTAGGTAACCATATTCTTATTCATGTTTGTCAGAATCCTGAGCTAGGAGAGCTACACGAAGCACAATCGTGAGGTTTTTGGAGGGAACTTTAAACGGCAACATGCTTGGGGCGCTGTGGGAGGGCGAAATTCCGATGCATGTCGCAGTTTGTAATCTACAGTAACGGCTACTTGCTTACAATGCAGAGGACATTTTCCTTTTCCAAACCTACTACCAAAGGTATAGATGTATGATCCATTGGTATTTTTGTGATTTGTGGCGTTTGTGTAGATATTTGACCCTGGCCTGGGCAGGGCGGGTAACGTCTAGCCGCGCGCGCCAGTAGTGATTTGGCTCGTAATCTGGGACAAGTTTCTGACTATTAATAAACGACCGGCTAGAATTACTCCCCCAAAAAATCAAAAATAATTCCGTATAACTCCAGTGTGTGTGTTGGGTTTACAGTTGGATGGCTCGTGTTTTGTGAAAATTCAAGTAACGTGTAACTTAGTTGCACTGTAAACAGAGTAACATGTTAACGTGTCTTGGAATTCACTGTCGCGAGAAGACCTTGGCTAACTGAAGATAATTTGCAGGTCTGCCTCCAAATCACTGTTATTTTCTCTATAATCAAATAGGCGTAGAGGTCACGTATACGATATCACTGTGCATGTCTTCACCGTGTTTTGTAAAAGCTATAAGGTCACAGAAAACAGTTTGGCCTCAGTAGAAGCGTGTCCTTGAATGGCGTCAAGCGTCCCCGGACGACCGTTACGCTGGCCGGTAAACCGCAGCCCAACCGACGCGCGCCGCCGGCTAATGCCGCAGTGTTTGGTTTCCCGATTATTTTCCAACCGTTATTTCCACCCCGCGAACGGATGATATAAATGAGATTGAGATTTATTTTTGCTTCTTTGAAATATTTCTAGAATTATTCGTTTGATTTCTCGAGCCGTTTTGGAAATTGTTTTGTTTCAAACTTTGGGTTTGTTTTGAAATGCAAATTACTGAAATCGACGTAGTGTCGTCTGCACATAGTTTTTTCGGACGAGTTTAGGACGAGGTAAAGACTACTGAAATCGTTCTTTTTTCAACACTACTATCTTTTCCGTGTAAGCCGTAGAACCCATTTTTGGATTGTTTCGTAATTTAATTCGTATACTTTTACTATGAAATTTTGGATGTGATATGTATCAGTCTCAGTGTTTATACAGGTGCACATGTCAACACTGATACATTGTTCAATGTTTCCCTTTTCTTCAAAACGACTCATGATGAAATAGGAACAGTCAAAGCAGGTCAATTCTATCAAACTCTTTAAAATTGTATGAATTACTAGTACCAAGAAATACTTGGTGATATTTGAAATCCTGGATAATTTAAACATATTATTAATGTCCATAGACTTTCGAAAGGCCGCACTCTCTCTTTCTGAAGTTTGATATTCTGATTTCTATTTCCGAGCTTTTCAGAGCAAATTCATAATTTTTTCAAATGATTTTCAGAATCAAGCAGACAGTCAATCCAATGCAGAGAATCATACTACTAGTATTAGTAATGCATGTCTGAGCCATTTGCAATAGGTGTACTAATTTCAGTCGCATCCACCATTGTTTCTCATTCTGTAGTAGAAAACCAGATGACTAGAAGGAGAACATGTCGTCGCTGCAAATCTTTGTACAAGCAATGCAAGCCCAGTGTGAGGAAAGCACCGGACATCTGGGCACTTCCAGAAGAGCTACAACTCCTCATGCTGAGGTACCTCCCTGCAAAGGACCTTGCCAATATGAGACTGGTAAGAGTCTTGTTTAGAACTTCTGAATAGAACTTGGAGATGTAAACATCCACTTCACATACATCTGTATATGTGCACAAGTTGTTCTCTGCAGAAATCTACTAGCGTCGCACAAATATCTGATAAGTCGCTAATGTAGCAATCCAAAGAGACTCCTCTAATGTCTGTGATAAAAATCATTTTGATAGCACCAAGAAAAGAACAAATCTCTCTACACATATATTATGACCAGAAAAAAAGAAACCACTGTATCCAAAGCATGGACTACAAAGCAAATACACTCAGCATCAAGTTTCAGTGCATTTCCCCTCTTAGATGGCTGGTGTTGTAGCTAGAAGGGCATGGCAAGTAGCAGTCTTTGTGTGATGTCCGTAACCTGACCTCAAACTAAATATCTGGCATGCAGTCGGCACACAAGATCTAATGTTATTCAAATCACTGCTAACGACTTTTCAATGTGCGCCAAGTGAAGTCGCAAAGAACAACTGTAGAGTACACATTAGAGTGGGAACCTGCAGCGCTAAAGAAAGAAAATGTTTGGCAGAAGTTTTGATCAAATGTCAAGAGGGTTAAGATATACAAAGATGTTATTTGTTTAAGAACTAGATGTACCAAAGTGCAAGTTTGTTCAACACTTTAAAGTTTGCAGCACTACAATTATGACTATATACACTGCCCTAAATATTCAGAATGCAGTTCAATAGTACCTTTGGAAGTGGAAAGAGTGTTATGTGAAAATAATGTTGATATTGGTAACTTACTGTATACATGTCATGAACTGAAAGTGTACTGTTATTTTTGATGACAGGTCCACTCAAGCTTCAAGCAGCTAGTAGATAACAATCCCACACTATGGGTGAACACTAACTTTGGGGGCATCTGGCCCAGTCCTGCCAATGTGGAACAGCTGAAAAAGTGAGTATGGCGGAACCCACCAGGTATTATTGTTTAGAGCAGATCAAATTTCCAAAAGGATTGTTGTAATGATATGTTTGAAAGTGTTATGAAAGGTCAAATTGACAATGAATCATACATTCTTCCTATCTTCTGTCATTAGAATGTATTTCTGTGCATTGGTATTTTAATGTGCCAATTTTCCAAGTGTTTAAGCAAATGTAGTGAATAGCAATTTATGTGCATCTGTTGTCCCTGGACCAGACTTAATTAACATTTGGCATGTTCATTTCTAGAATTGCAGAGTACGGAAACCTGGAACTGCTTATCAAGTTGGGTGTGGCCTATCTGTACAATGAAGGATGTAAGTAATTAAGCAGTCTGTATTCATTAATTCTAAGTTGTTTGTAACTAACTTGCAACAAGATAATAAAACTTACAACTGTAACTGACTCTTAGTTTCTTACTGAGAAAAATATTTCAGTTCTGTAAGTATGATTTGTGTTAGGAGATGAGAAGACATGCTTAGAAGTTCTAAATAGTGCCGTATACTGCTGGTTTAGTAATTTGCTGGAACTACTAGTAGTTCCGGACTTCTGAACAAGTTCCGGACCTGGACCTAAACCTTTGGACTTGAATACGGACCTGAACGTAGGTTTAGGTACATGGCACTGCTTAGAAAATGCAGTATATGATAACTGTTTCTCTGGACTTCATCTACATTTTGTAACATGATTTGAATGAAATTAATTTAGTCCCAGAAATCGAGGGTGAGCAGGCGAGCAGGAATGGCGTCCGTGCGGCTGAGTTCTTCATGAAGTCCGAGGAGCTGGTGCGAGCTGCGGGCACCCCTCCCTTCACCTGGCTCTTCATCAGGCCTCCATGGACCACCACTGGCACCTGCTGCAAGTCTCTCGCCTTCAAGACCATCAAGGACAAAGCAGCCAGCACTGAGGTGTGTGTTACTGATGGCAATGAACAGTACTACTAAGCAAAAACTGATGCAGAACTTTCAAACCACCCTTAGTTGCCTTGGTTTAGTTGCATGTTACACATACATTACTAGGAATGAAATATTAGGTGGGTAATGAATGGTTTTATTTGCAGTCATTTTTTAAACTTGTTTTTCTTTTTTTTCTCTTCAGAACACCAGCCCAGCCTTGCCCTTCTGCATAGCCAAAGCACAAGGACTGTTTGATGTAAGTTGTCCTGTTTATAGTGTGTAGTCACTACTCTCTACTCAGAAATTACCTCAAACTTAGAAACCCAACAGTCTTAACTATTCTCCTAGATACCTTTATCTACTTTGAGCAGAAGATTGTTGCTAACTTAGTAGATTGGAATCATGGTGTATCAGGACATTTCGTATCTTATAAATGACTATAACTGACTTTGAGTTTGACCATCTGTTTCTGTTGAAGGATGAGGAAGAGCGATCAGAAGCAGTTGAATGGTTTGAGAAGTCAGCCAGCATGGGATCTGAGTATGCCACCTTCACCATGTGGGAACTCAAACACAAGGACAAGGTGAGCTGATTGTTGGGTAAAGGAAAATGTAGTAACTGTCCATATAGCTTGTTCTGTTGTCATGTTATTATAATGCGCAGACAGCTAAACTGTGAGAAAGGAAGGGCATATAACATAAGATTGGCATTGACAAGGTGTCCACTTTCATAAAAAAGTTCAGGGCCGGCCAACAGTAATAAACAACAACTTCTGACATCTCTCTCTCTTTTCCACAGATGATTGACCCTGTAGGCAGCAGACATGCTGTTAGACTGCTGCGAGAGATCACTTCATCTGGCTCCTGGCAGGCACAGGTGAGGGTTGTTCTCATTTATCTCTTCAAGTTCACAAAACAGTCATTGCACAGAATTCGTTATTACTGACAACTGAGAGAAACGAAAATGACCTCGATCCAGTTTTAGCTCACTGAAGAGCTAATCTCCTGCTGGCTGTGACAGATGCTATGTACATTATATACTGGGGAATTCCCCAAGCCCTTTTCGACAAGCACAATGAACAGTTGACCACAGTTTAATGTCCTGTGACCCCTTCAAGTAGCACGCCAACCTCTTGGTCCAGAAGCAGGGTTGCCAACCACTGGACTATGCATGCTACCGTACGCTACGAGCCAAATGCTGCTTGTCTACACATCAGGAAGTTTCTGAGTTGTGTATTTTTCTGTTTCCCAGCTGGAACTGTGCAATGGTTATGCCAAAGGCCTGTACGGCGGCGTGTGTGCTGCCCAGGCGGCCGAGGTGGTCAGGCAGTTTGTGTTGTCCTCCCAGCCCTCCTACAGCCACAGGATCTTTGAGATTCAGAAAGGCATGAACAACATCATGAGGTAGGAGACAGATATGTTTTATTTCCTGTGAATAGAAAAGCATTACATTACTTTTATCTATTGTGCAGTTTATAACTAGCAAGCATGGCAGATACACTGGCATATTTTTGGTTGAAAATGTGTTGCAACTTGACAATTTTTGTTGCACTTAGCCGGCACTGGCTTTTCAACTAGGTGCTATAAACAATAGCATCAATATTAGTGGGAAACGGTTTGGGTTTTCACTATTCTTTTCGTTTGGCCGGATCTCAAAAGTGTTTTGCAAATAACTGGCGTCCACTGTGCCATCTGACACAAACTACAGTCAATGATTTCTTAAATGCTTCACATTTAATGCATAAATACAGTTGTGTGATGTATCTGTATATCTTTTTAATGAAGTCACCCTTCATGTATTTTGGAGTGATCATATAGTTTTGTTTGCACATCTATTTTGATAGGTCTTAATCTTTAAGTTAATGCCTCTTCCCACAGATTTATCTTGGTAGACTGGCTGGTTGAAGTTGCTTCCATGAAGGACTTTTCAACCCAGGTGCTGCACGCTGCCGTACGCTGTGTGGACCGTTACCTCATGACGCACAAGACTCCGCGCTCCAAGCTGCAGCTGGTGGGAGTCGCTTCTATGGTGCTAGTAACACGGTACGACATGCATGATGTTTTACCCAAGTCACTTTTTATAAATTTGTTTATAAATGTCATTTTTTGGCTTCGTTATATCTACTCCTTCGCAGAAGGAAAACATATTGTTTTTGCTCACTTTCTTCTTCTCCAAACAAATAAGGTCAATGACTGCCTGGACCATACGTCTGTCACCATGGTGACTCGTACTGTAGCAGTGTTCGGTTTTACATTTTGTAGCAGAACCGAGTTGGAGGGGCCCTCACGATGTACATGTATATGAATGTTTTTGAGTACGACTAAACAGAGCAGTAGTTTGAGGTAGACCATGTGATGGTAAATGGCACGCATTTGCTTTGCAAACATTACATGTCTAGTTAGATTTAGATTAATCTCATTGATTTTTTTTTGTTTTCCTCAGATATCTTGCCAAGGACATTCTGACAGTCCGCGAGGCAGTCTGGCTGACAGACAACACCTACAAGTATGAGGACGTGGTCAGGATGATGGGGGAGCTGACAGCCACTCTGAGGGGAGAAATCAGGGTGAGTAGGGACTAGCCAACATGGAACTACTAAACAGGTAGTTATTTATTTATTTATTTATTTCTTTATTTCAGGCATAAGTCGCCCATACACAACATACATATAAAATACACACAATAACTGGATAGCAGTTTAATACCCTGGGTGCCAGACCCATAGCACACTTAGCCTGAAGGATAACTTTGACGCTAGTATTCTATGGGTCTGGCATTCAAGCTAGATAACAGTTTGCAGCACTCAAGAATTTTGTCTTCAAGTTTATTCAAGTCTGTTAGACTTTGAGCTGAAGCTAATAGCCTGGTCACCAGATCTATTTTAGCTCCCAATTATCTATCCTATTTGCGGATACACGAGAGCTAAAATAGGTCTGGTCACCAGGCTACTGAAGCAGGGAAGTCACAAATACAGCTAACAGTGTTGTTGTTTTGTGTTTTTGATTCATTTGTTGTTTTCCTCGCCCCTGTTTCCTGACACAGGCGCTGACCTCGGCAGACTACCTGGACCTGTTCTTCAAACTGCAGCTGCTGGACCAGAGAACCAAGTGTCTGGCAGCCTACATCTGTGACCTGGCCCTGCTGCAGACTGAGATCATGGGCAGCTACAGCCCTGCTGTCATCGCTGCAAGTGCACTGCTGTTAGCAAAGATGACCACCAACAAAGGTATCTACTGGTTTTTTACATGATATTTCTATTTTGTTACGGATCGCTCACACTCACTCACTGTCCGGTTTAGCTTAAGTTGTTCCCCGTCTTCCGAGGGTTAGACGTGCTTGCACAGTGGTGCTGTATTTATTCACAATGATAGATCTTTATTGAATTAGGAGGCCCAAGATGTGTAGATATTAAAACTAGACCCAGTCAACAATTGAAATTTGTGAAGAAAGTCGAGTCAAGAAAGATGGAAGCTCTGGAATAGAAGAATAGGAGAGGACAGCGTCAATCATTTTGGTGTTTTCAAAGGATTATAGCAAGAAGAAATTACAAGATGTGACATCTTATTTCCTGTAAAAGACTTTTACGTTATGAAAGAAAGTCTCACAATGATTTCCTTTCCCTGCTAGATGCTGAACTCTGGTCCAGTCACATGACACAGTTCACTGGCCTTCAGGTGGTTGACCTTCTGACCTGTACCCTTCAGGTCTACCACAAGTGGTAAGTCTAGTCACGGCATAATATTTCTACTGAACTTTAGTTTAGCTTTCCTGTAACCTGTTTGACTACATTATTCAAAGTGTAACTTTGCATTAACTTTGTACAGAGAACAAAATGTACACGTATTACCCATTTCGTTAACACACTCTCTAAAACCTCACAGTTCAGTCGCTATGCTGTAGTAAAATAAATATGCAGCTTATCGGTAGTCCCAATTCTAAACTCCTTTTTACAGTACAAGTGTGCACTGCTAATGATAAAGTTTAATCACCAAAGTAAACCTAGCAACAGAATAAATTCTCTGAGGAGTTAGACGTTTTAGATAAACTTCTGCTATTTTTCATCAGAGACCCAGTCACCGTTGCTTGATATATTTTGTTTTACATAATGTTGCCTGGATGTCTAACCTTCGATGCACCCATCTTGCAGTTTGTGCCAACCTCCACCACGAGACCATCACAACAACCCCCTGACCGCGGTCAGACAACACTACGGAGACGAGCGCTTCTGTAAGGTCAGCGAGATGGAGCTCCTTGGCAACAACGAGCTGATAGCAAGGCTGGGATTGGACAGCAATGTTGCTGCAGAGCCAATCACGGCCGACTTTACAAACCAGAAGTTGAACATTGACATCCTGGGCTCCTCTCCAAGACCAGTCAAGAGTGCAAGGTGGGTTGAATACTAGTGCATTGTCCAATAGCAAGAAAGCACTGGACAGGATTGGACAGATTTGCTATGAAGTATGAACATTTCAAAGTTAGTGAAGACTTCATCAGCTAGAAATTTATTTTGACAGTCCAAAAAAAAAAAACACAAGTGGTCTAGCATTTGGGAACTTTGTGCCTTGTCTGCTTTGTGAATTGTGATGTAGATGCATTTGTACATTGTATATTCATCTATGAATATGATATATCTTTTATCAAAAGTCTTAAAGGCAAAGCAAGAACAGTGTGAATCTGCCCAGTCAAATCACCCATGTAGTCAAACAAAATGCAAGTTATCAAATGAGCTCTTATAATACAATTGTGGCCAGTACAGTAAAATCTGTATAATACAGATTTTACTGTACTGGCCACAATTGCTTTAGTGATATAAAACTGACATGTTTTTCTATCCACCAGACCGTGCCCTGACCAGGAGGCAGACCGCAGCACCATGGTGACTCCCATCATGGAACTGTCCATGGACAACTCTGGGTACGAGGGGGACATGGAGAGCGAGGGGGAATACCTGGGTAAGGAAGACTGCAGTGTTCACAGCTCCAACTTTGAGAATAATAGTCTTGAAAGGACTCTTGGCAAAAATCCATGATGAGAGGCAAAGCAGTCATGCTGTAATGAATGTGATTTGAGAACAGGTTCAATCCTGAGCAGACCACAACAAACACGTACAAAACATACATGTAGGAGCGACCATCCCATTCAATACCCATACCCCCCACCGTGCCGGAGCCCTCAACCGATTGAGGTTGTGCACGAATTGGGAAGAAGAAGAAAAATGCACAATGCACATTTGCAATCCTAAGCTGGTGTGTTATACTGAAGGGTGGTTATACTGGCTATACCGATACAGATACAGAATCCATTTTTCTGCTAAAAGCCCTGCAGATTTAGAAGGGAAACCCGGTGTTCTGACTGAACAACAGACAAATGAAAATGTTTCAATTTTGGCAAAAATGTGCTTGCCGACTCAATCTTGGGAGTTCTGATATTTCACGAGAAACAGTCACTTAAGGATATTATATTTCATCAATTCATGAGAAACAGTCACTTAAACTGAGACTTTTTGTTTCCTCTGCAGACATGTCTGATGAAGAGATGAGTGAGGATGACCAGGAAGATGATGTGTGCACCTGCTGCTCAGCGAGTGGCTCATCTAACACGGGTTCTGATTGGCTGGATGTCATCAGCCCCACTGCAGCTAGCAAACCACTATTCAGGACACAGTCTGCCGTTGACCAATCCCTGACCAGTATGGATGTCTCCATGGAGACTCCCAGTCAGTTTCTCCAGGACTTGAACTCCTTTGACATTGAGGGTGCCAGTAACAGCTCCGGGCTGTACCATGATGAAATGGGGGAGGCAGCAGCCAAGGTTTTCCAGCCGTTGTCTAAGGGCATGAGGAACATCACAATACGTGCACGCCGCAGGGCTAGCTCTCCAGAATCTTCAAGTCCGTGTTCGAGTGCGTGCTCCAGCCCGAGAGCGCCTCTACGGGTCCTCCAGAACATCAGCCAGGAAGTTGCCAATGCAGTTCTACCTCAGAAAAAATCTGTCAAGAGAAAGGAGTGTGCTTGAGCTGTGAGAAAAATGTTACACACACCATGTAGGCCAGAAAATGACTGCCATGTGTGAGAGAACAGTGGTTATATTTGACAGTAGGATCTGCACGCAATACCTTTTCCAGTGTAGCTCTTTTTTCTGAGGCTGGCATTTTCTTCCAAAAGTTAACAGTTGTAGCTATTGTAATTCTAGGTCTTTGCAATACATACATTCATTGTAGAACTACTAGAATTAGTATATCCCAGGCAATACAGCAGGCTTTATTTTCAATGCCAATGAATTTGCGGCATTCAGGTAGCAGTTTTCAATGTTACAGTCTGTGCCATAATGTTGTTTGGCTGCTAGTGTTACAGTCCATGTTTCTTTGAATTCTGGCAGCTTTCATTTGTACATTTATCCCAGATATTACATTATATGGACAACTCAAACTTTCAAATAATCTTGGTGATGGCAGCTGTCTTCCATACATTTCTATGTCTATATTAGACATTCAAACATTTCAATACCAAAGTTTTTCTTGACATGTCCTATGTCTTATGCAATGTCAGTAGACTGTAGCATATTTGTTGTGGCTATAGATGGCAGTAAGAAGGAAGAATATGATGATGCAGAGCTTGAGGTTGTCATTTAGATTATTATTGTGACAAAAAAATGACCAAATTTATGTATGTTCTTTCATCTAAGCAAGCTACAAGATTCTAATTAATGTATTGTGTGATCTTAAGTTGAGAGAAATCGCATCAAAATTCTAAGTGGAAAGGGATTTTGAAAATTGAGTAAGTCAAACAAAAAGTTGTACCAATATTTAACATATCCTCAGCAAAATGCCTGTCAGTAAATTTACAGATGTAACTTGTAGGTAAGTTTTCAGGCATTGCATACTCTTTGACCAAATGCAGAAAGTACAATGTATTTGGTCACTTGTAGGTTGTATCTGACATTATGGTGCTCAAAAACACTTTGGTGCAATGTCAGGATTTATACATTTTGTAAGGGACATGACAATGACTAATGTGACTATCGAATATGCAGTTTCCAAGAAATGAACTGTCACAAAGTTACTAAGCTACATTTATCAGGGCTATCCTGTATTTTTTTTCACCTTGCTTTATTCCATTAATTGTATATATATTTTGTTTAACTGTGACTTTTTTTGTCTAGATGTAGGGCCTTGATCCTTCAGATTTTCTTTTTCAAGTCAGACTTGCTAATTGTTACAATGAAATATTATATTGTTATCCCAGAGCCTGTAGTATAAGGTGGTGACTGGGTTGATTGACACTAGTGCACTAGCCTGGCTTATATTAGAGAAACTTATATACTTTCAAAGCATAGGCTTTAGATGACTAGATCTATGTAAATATGTTTCCATAGAGAATGATAGCTTTGGTCGAATAGGTTGCATTAACAATTTGCTGCTTTGCTAGTTGCATATCGCGCTGCTCTTTAGCAAGAGGCTTTGGTGCAATGATACAAGTTTCTGTGTATCATAGAGCCATGCCACAATATTATGTTTTGCACCCATTGTTTGCCTTGTCATATATATACAAGGCAGTCATGCAGTTCTTCAAATAACATTCCAAGATATTCTTGTACACAAAGCTGAAATCTGGCTATTTTCATGTAAACTTCAGGGAGAATTCAACCTATTTTTGTACCCTCCATATCATCATTTGTATGTTCCACACTGTTTTCTATTAAATGGAATTTCTTGTACCTTTTTGTCCACCAGTTCATTCTTTCATACCAACTGGTGAGCTACACCAATTCAGCAAAGACAGTTTTTGTACTGTGTAGATAATGATGTAGGCATATTTGTAGTACTAGTAGCCTAAAGGACAAGAAAAAACAACATTCCAAGGCTAATCCTGTTATACTAGAAGATATATAAATACATATTTTGCCAAAAAAATAGCCAAAGAAATTACACACTGTTCATATTGAACATTTATTTTATTGGAATGTACACATAGTGGTGGGTTAGGGGATCATGCAAGAAATACAATGAGTTCCTAACTGATGCAACAATTTTTTTCGTCAACATATTCAAGCACAAACTTCTGGCCTTTCCGTGTCAAACCTAAACCTTAAATTGAGTCAAAGCTAATGACAATACATGGTAAACATCATGCAACAATATATAATTGAAAGTCAGTAGACAGCTCACTTGGCTCTGACAACTTTTCTTAACCTTCCTCCTGCCAAGTTATGATGTAACCGATACAAATTGGGTGCATGGATGAGCTGACAGCTATGGAAGGTTAAGGCACCTGACTCAACTACAGTAACATGTAGTTATTGGATACATCAGGTAGAAACAATCCATAAGTTCATGCAGCATTGGGCAGTTTCTCATTTTCCTCTTGCTCTTCTTTGTCCTGCTGAGGTTTGCTACTTTCACCAGGTGGAATTGTCTCAACTGTTCCTTTGAAATGATCCTGATGCACAAAGAAAAAGAAAACCCAAGTTTGAAAATACATTATCAACTAGAAAGGTGACATCTGCAAAGCAAATGCATAATGTTTACCTTCGCATATGGTCTGCTCTGTAAAAGATTCAAACAGATTCATATACTAGTATATGGTCAGACAGGAGTCTAAATCCCTCCTGCTATAAAATTGCAACATGACGTAACCCAACACCAGTTACCATGGGGACATGTCTGGTTCTGGTCATTGACCTTTTGTGTTTGGAACGGAAGAAGAGGAAACAGGGCAAAACAATATGTTTTTCTTCGGTAAACATAAAAATACATTATCAATAAACATATCAGATAATTAAAAGGCTGTCAAACAATGACAGTTGAACTGCAGAAGACAGTGGCTGACCTGAAGATGTGATCTGACTGTTGTGAACATTTCATGACCGTGGGACACAACAAACCAGGTGGCAGACACTGTCAGGGTCAGCAAGATGGCAACAAAGGCAGCTCCGGACAGGACTCCAGCCAGGACCAGGCAAGCAGTGGTCAGCAAAAATCCTGTGAAGAAATTTGGTCATTTTTCATGTCCAAAAGCCAGCATCAAAACCCATTATAGTACCATCTACTGTAAAAATAAACATGTGACAATCTACATGTGGTCCCCGAAGCTTTGGCTTTGTCACTGGCAACTTTTATTTATCATGCTCTGTTTTCTGATTAACACCAGCAGTGTTCTGATTCTACCAGAATCAGATCTACCAGAATCAGAACTTGTTACCAAACATCATATCAAGTGAAATCCAAACAGATTACTGTAATTCCTTATTTTTTCACTGGTACTTTTATGTTCACTGTTTTCATGGTCACTTTTGTACCATGAACTTATCATTACCGTTATGAAATCATTTGTCTTTGCCCTCCTTCCTCATCTCCTGTCATCAGGAAGACTGAAATTTTGCTCTCGTGAAGATAAAGTGAACTAGAAAGGTAGCATTTGCAAAGCTAAATGCATAATGTTTACCTTCGCATATGGTCTGCTATATGGTAACAGGAGTCTAAATCCCTCCAGCAGTCCAGCTACAAAATTGCAACATGATGTAACCCAACACCAGTTACCATGGTGAGAGACATCTGCCTCAGGTCATTGACCTTTTGTGTTTGGAGAAGAGGAAACTGAGCAAAAACAGTATGTTTTCCTTCAGTAAACATAATTTGCAGTACCTTCCACCACCAGGAAGCCGCTGAAGGTGAAGATGAGACTGCCCAGAACAAAGAACAGGAAAATCAGAAAGGGCACTGTTCCCATGGCGACCACCAGGGCCAGGAACATGGTCGGAATGGGGTTCTCATTTGCATACTGTAGAGACTGCTGTACCTGTAGAACAAGAACACATGACATTTCAGTAGCTGACATTGTGTCATACAAGTTGAAGATTTTAGTTTTTTCAGGTTAAGTTTGCAAAGCAATTAAAAGATTTTGCACATCAGAGGTACATCCTAACAGTCAGAGGAGTCTTGGAAAGTTGTGAGAATTAGGAGAGTAGAAACAGAACGACACTCATGGTCCCACGCTGGGGATCGAACCCACGCCAAACCCGGGCACCCCAACGCTCTAATCATTCGGCTAAAAGGTCTAGACCCGTCAGACGGATCAGTTGGTAGTGCCTATAAACCCCCCGCTGTTATACAAAGTGTCGGTTTAAGGTTGTGTCGGATTAAGGTTCACTGTTGATAGCATTATAGTTCGTTATACCATAAATCCCTTTTTCCTTGTTCACACCAAGGACATTACAATTTACATTCTGTATAATGTCCTTGTTCACACAAAGTGCAATGTGACTGATAAGCAAATACATGTACTAACTTTGCCTGAGCTGTCAGTGTCAAAGCAAAAGGAGAATACAAGACGTGTACCTGATCCCTTCTGTAGACTCTCTGCACCAGAGCATGTGTGCGGTTCTTCAGATCGTTCAAACTGGCCCCCACACTTTCACTACCCATAGTTAGCTCCTTCAACTGACAATAGCTGCAGAAGAAGAATATAAAGTGATGATTATGTTAGATAATTTCGGGAGGAAAACGGATCACTTTTAAAGACATTAAAGATAAATTTGAAAAGTAGTTGCATCATCTTCCAGCTGCTGGCTTCTTCTTTATACTATCTTTACTTGACTTTAGTCAATCTATTTATCAGTTATGATGTAGCTTATCCTCCTGGAATATTTCTACTAAGAAACCAAGAATTCTAAAGGTATTTACCGAGCTGTCAGGCAAAAGTCTTCCCTCTCAAGGAGTGTAGAAATGTAAGTCCGCATTCGACATTGTCATTGATATTTGTGTGAGTGGGTGAAACCATTTGACTTCGGGTTTGTCCAGAAATGAATTAGTTCATACCTTTAAGTATCAAAGAAGAAATGGATAACCATTTTTATTGAGCTCAGTTTATATATAATTTGCTAAAATTATCATGTGGCTATTTTGTTATTACACGCATGACATTATATTGCGAATGAATTAAAGTATTTATTTCCACCCCACAGATGAATGAACTTGTCCATACAAGATGGCTGCGCCCATGGTCACATTTTCCCTGAAAAGGTAAGTATTTCCTTTCTCGTGTCTCCAAAAGCCACGCATTGAATGTCATGTTCTTGCTAGACAGCAAAAGAAAGGTGTCGTACCTAGCTTCCTATTTCCAACGTTATTCCTAGCCTCACAAACGAATATATTGCCAGTGAAAAGAGGAGAGGAGAGGGGGGGCGGTTACAAAAGATGCTCACAAAAATATTTTGCACATCGGAGTTTCAAAGGCCCCGTGATGAGATGTATTCTATAATTTGATAGTATCTAAAATTAAAAACTGTATGTCACTTAGATGATTGGACCTATCATGTCGTACTCTCATTGGCTAGAAACAGAACTCTTCAATTCAATACACCTACGTACGATATATTATATATGATAGTGCAACACGTTTTCTTCAGACTATACAGAAGTTTCTGTGTACTGCGACCACATCTGTTCGGAGGTAGTAAGAAACGGACTCTGTGCAGAAACTATGCAACCAAGGCCAACATTCTCACCCTACACGAGAGGGGCGTGTTTGTCGACATATTTCCAGAGGCCAGGTGAGTAATTAAAATGTCACAATGAAAAATAGGTATCATATACTTAACAATGATGTAAGTATGTCTTTTAAATGTAAGTTTACTGTACTTTTTCTGTGCTATGTAATTATGGCATTTTAAATGTATTTGAGCCTTGGAAGACTAACCTAGCAGGTCTGAAAGGTTTCGTAATAAATTTTAATAAATTACCATTGTCTTCATCATGTATAATTCACGAGCATAACAGAGCATAACTTTACACTGTACACTATTAGCTATGAATCTTGGTGCCGCCGCACCGCGTGCTTGCAAAGCTTGTGTGTTATGCTGAAGGGCGGTTATACCGGCTCACAGCGCAGTCATGCATTAGAAAAATTGTTATATGATCTATATGATTTTTTTTGCTTGTATTGATGAGGTATTAATATTCACTATTAAGTACCCGATGTGCCATACTAGTAAGTAAATAGGCACAGGAGGAACTAAGGTGCTAAGGTAACGTATTGATGTATGATATTATTCTAGGAACAGTTTCAAGTACATGTATAATCTAAAGTTATTCTGTATAATTTTCTAGTATTGAGCTTCCCAAGCTGCTGCAGTCTGGTCCCCAGTGTGTGTACTGTGGGTTTGACCCGACAGCGGACAGCCTCCACATCGGTAATCTGCTGGCCATCATCGGTCTCCTGCACTGTCAGAGGGCTGGACACAATACCATAGCACTGGTCAGTTGGAAGTTTTCTCTTAAACCTATGTAATGTTACGTATGTCAGCACGTCGGCAGAACGTACTGCGCCTGTGCAAAACCCTGGTTTTTTACGGTTTTCGCTGGATGTTTGGTCAACATGGCATCAAAATTTTTCCTGTTACAGATGATATCTTTTCCGACATAACATTTGCAAACTACTGCCAGGATGCCAACCATATATATATATGCAAATACGACACTATACGTTCTATCGGAGTACTATGCATTACATACTACAGGTTTTGCGCAGGTGCAGTACATTCTGGCAACGTGCTACATATGTCACACTTATGCAATTCATATATAGATATGCATAATATATAAGTATACAATGTGCAGATGTTAAAATATGCTTAACTGCTTAACTGGAAGAATAACTTAAATGCATACCCTGAGAGCCAAGTGTTAGGGAGTTGATATGTTTCATATTTTATGATTTCCAGCATATAGTTTTTGTCTTGGCCTTTTTTACTTGTCCACAAATCAAGAAAATTCACCAGATACATCAGAAAGTCCTGTTCAGTTACATAACTTATAATGGCTTGATATTTTTTTCCAGATTGGAGGTGCGACAGCCAGAATAGGTGATCCAAGTGGAAGATCAAAAGAGAGAGAAGCACTAGATATAGATCAGCTGCAGACCAATATAAAGGGGATTGAAACTACTCTACGGCAAGTCTGCAAAAATCATGAACAAGACATATGGAAAAGCCCCAAGGAGTTACCCCCTCTGAGGTGAGTACTGACTAACTGTTTTAAGTTTAATTTCTTACCAGGTTAGGTTTCTCTAGCACTAAGGAAAGGGATGGTACAGGATAGTACAAGGGGGTAGGTCCTTCAGCACCAAGGAAAGGGATGGTACAGGATAGTACATAGTGGGGGAAGGTCTTTCAGCACCAAGGAAAGGGACGGTACAGGATAGTATAAGGGGGAAGTTCTTTCAGCACTAAGGAAAGGGACAGTACAGGATAGTACAAGGGGGAAGTTCTTTCAGCACTAAGGAAAGGGATGATACAGGATAGTACAAGGGGGAAGGTCTTTCAGCACTAAGGAAAGGGATGATACAGGATAGAACAAGGGGGAAGTTCTTTCAGCACTAAGGAAAGGGACAGTATAGATAGTACAAGCAAACACATGCTCATCTCCTGATGTGGTTTGACCTACTGATAACTCTTACCTTTTTCCAATCAGCCAGGAGGTTGACATATTTTCATACTCGCCAATTCTGTCTGTAAAGATGACAGATCTAGACTAGAGTGAGTGGCCATGATTTTTGTCCATCATCAGCCACAAGATTTGTTACTAAATGACATAATGATGTGTCCAAGGACCACAGAACAGAGGCAAATGGCAAGCAGCCCCTCAGTTAGGGGAACAACAGACAATAAACCGGATAGAGAAAGAGAGGGAGATTGACTCTAGACAAGACACTGTCCCAGTAATAGCTTGACAGTACTAGTATACTTTACTAAACTTTACCAACACTGTCCTTGTGTAAGACACCCTGTTTATGCCTTGACTATCTGTTACAGAATAGAGAACAACTCCAGCTGGTACAGACAGCAGAACGTGGTGGACTTCATGTCTACAGTTGGGAGGCATCTGAGGATGGGCACCATGCTGGGGAGAACCAGGTATGGAGCATGATATTAACCTCTGTGGACGGAGGGCTTGTGAATCTATAGTTATTTTACATTAGTCACCCTTGTAGAACCATCAGTCTTTTTCTGTTTAAATTTACATTGTATATTAAATTGTGTTGTGTTTTCAAATTACATGTTTAATGTTTTGTTACAATACATTGTTTAATGGATAAATACTGCAAGTCTTACCACCACTACTATTACTAGTATTAGTGTCCTGTCACCTGTATAATGGTACGGTCCCCAAAGTGGTTGGTTATTCTAATAACCGACCACTTTTGATGTTACGACCTGATAACTGATGGGAAATGGAGGCTTCTCATTGGTCGACGTTGCCTGACTATATGGCAATATGTGTTAATATTAAGTCAGTAAGAGTAAGGTGGGAATCACTTAATATTGGCTGTTCTGTTTGCTAGTGTACAAACTAGACTGAAGTCAGCTGAGGGGATGAGCCTGAAAGAGTTTACCTACCAGATGTTCCAGGCGTACGACTTCTTACACCTGCACAGGGAGTACAGCTGTCTCATACAGGTGAGAATCTCATTCTTCTTACTCAAACAACTTTTACCACTTATGGTCACTTTACAAGTTTAGCTTTGGAAAAATCATTGCTTGGGAGTTTGAAGTTAACCTAAATCATCCTGAAACATTGTGCTTTAACTTCTTTATCTATGCACAGTGATATTTTACAGTTGTCAACTGAAAGTACAAGTTTCTGTTTTGTCACGATAGCTTTACTTCTGTTGTAGTAAATCGTGTTGCCATCGTGGAAACGTTTGTGTTTAATTACATAGTTAGATTAGATAAGTTCTCACTGTCTTACCATATTTGTTGCGGTCAGCATTTTAAACTTTGTATAGATCCGTATCATTTATGAGTTTTGACACCATTTTGGTCCCTTCTGCAGCTCGGGGGGAGTGACCAGATGGGAAACATGATGACTGGGCATGACCTTGTCAGGAAGGTCACAGGCAAGGAGGTGTATGGTCAGTACAGCTGTGTCTGCAAAGTCTTTATAACGTCGTGTCCAGTTAAGACTTCAAATGGTTTGGACAAATGATGACAACTATCTGATTCACACTCATATAGACTTGTCTCTGGTTAGAAACATTGCCAATATACATCTTCTGCAAAGTTTCAAGCTTGAAATGAATGTTGTTTGTTTATTTATTTATTTCATCTTAAAACGGCTGGGTAGCCCATTCAGCTGTTAGAAGCTGCTTTCCAATGGGGCCCAGTATACAATCACACAGGACCAGACATGGTTATATTTACTAGTAGTCAGACAACAAAAGGTGGACAACAGTCAAGTAAAATTTGATGCAAAACAAAAAGCATTATCCATAAATCAAAGTCATCATAAAGTTGTTTGTTTGCTAGCCTACATCTGTATGTTTTTAAACAACGAAAAGTCATTTTCTACTCAATATACAAAGAACGTACAGGTTTCGTTCCTTTTTTGTGCTTACAGTTACATACTTTTTTTGTGTTTCACACCCACAGCCATCACAGTTCCGTTGGTGACCACAACGTCAGGACAGAAGCTGGGTAAGACAGCTGGGAACGCTGTATGGCTCAGCAGGGACAAGACATCACCATTTGAACTGTATCAGGTACAGGCATTTGTCTTCAGTTCTCAGACAAAAAGTATTTACTGCAACTAGTACATTTTTGTACCCTGGTGCATACATTGTAGTAGTAGTTGTACTTCAGTGTAGACATGTGATTTTTTCTTCTTATTCAAGTATATTGCTCAAAACTTGTTCCCTGTGGAAACTGAAGTGCCTTAGTTTATTACATGTATAATCTTTTCAGAAATTGGAAGTTGTCAGCCAGGGATTGAAATCTTTTTTAGTGCGTAACCTAAGCCAAAAGCTAGGTTGCCCATCAATATTACAGGTTGCCGTCAACACTGACTGTTTATTCTAGAAAGCATGTCATAAGTCAGGCCACCTGTAAATGTATTGCTCACATGCTAGCCAAGGTGGGACACAGATTATTTCAGAATTAAGCCAAAACTTTTGCACCAGGCAACTTGGCATCTCCAATTAATCTCACACAGAAACTATAACTTGGGTGGTGAGAGTGGGTATTTCAAACCCTGTAAGCTATGCTTATGCATTAGTAATGACGAATATAGTACACACATATAAAGCTGTATCAGTGTAGGTTCTAAGGCCATGTTGATTTGATTATATGGATGACATCTGTGCGCGCATGAATTTTCGGCCGTTTCCACAAAAAAAAAGTTTTCAACCATACTGTAAATCGTAACAGTTGCAAAATGAGCAAAAATATACCATAAGTTACAAAAAAATTAATAAAAACTATACCAATGTCGTAGAATGCCAAAATCAAACGAAAAAAGACGAAATTGTAAAGAAATGAACTTGAAGACTAGATTATTAGCCAAACCATATTCTGTGCCATTTGCTCAACCCTCATGACCACGTAGATTTCATAATGAAAAGAACTTTTTTTTTGCAAAACTTTTTTTTTATTCGCACGCGTGCATCAGTTTTGGGGCTCCCGGAGGATGTCATCCATATAATCAAATCAACATGGCCTAACCAAGATTCTTGTGTCCACAGTTCTTTGTCCGACAGCCAGATTCCATCATGGAGAATTACCTGAAACTCTTCACCTTCCTGTCCACGGCTGAGATCGCAGACATCATGAGAAAACATTCCGTAAGCAAACGTTTCAGACAACCCCCCTTTTGTCTTGTGATCACAATCCAGTGAGATAGTGTCAACCAGTGATTTAGACTGTACTACTTTGTAACAGGGGATGTTTCCATTACTTGCAATAAACTGGTGGATGTACTCATTGTCTCAAGCTCAATACAACAGTGATTTAGGCTTTATTTGTCATTATTATTAACTTATTCCTAAGAATGTATGTATAACATGTAACACAATACAAGAACTCATTGCAGCAACTTTAAAATAGCATACCATTAGAAAATAATACAGGTATTCACCACAGTGTAATTTTTTTTCACTTCAAGTCCCAGGTCCATCACTGTATCTAATGAAGTGCCCTACTTTAACCTTTCTTGAATTACTTTCCACACAGAATCATCCAGAGAACAGACTGGCACAGAAAAAGTTAGCAGAGCAGGTCACAATACTGGTCCATGGAGGTTAGAACAGTATAATCTCTTCTTCATACTCCCTACTCTAGATCTCCATATGTTAGAGTTATGACTACACACATTGGAACCCATATGAACTTGGAATAATATTTTCAGAAACATAGTCATTTTCTTTAAATGATACCCATTTTTTATACCAAGAAATCTGCATTTCTGGGACGGCACTAAGACTGACGATGGGTGAATGAAAAGGCCTCAAAATGTATCACACGTACACTAAAAGTCAGTGTGACTTGGAATTTTAAATTTTCTCCTTTCCTACAGTGTCAGGCCTGGAGTCAGCCCTGCGCTGTACCAAGGCCCTGTATGAAGGTGGGTTAGACGTGCTACAGAGACTGACAGAGGAGGAGATGAAGCTGCTGTTCAGTGAAGCTCCCACCACAGAGATGGTGTTAGAACCAGGACTGAGTCTGCTGGATGTGCTGGTCAAGGCTAAAGCTCTGCAAGGGGAGGGTGAGTGAGTGTATGAATGAATGAATGAATAAATGAATGATAAATGGACGAAGCTACTGTTTAGTGAAGCTCCCACCACAGAGATGGTGCTAGAACCAGGACTGAGTCTGCTGGATGTGCTGGTCAAGGCTAAGGCTCTGTCAGGAGAGGGTGAGTGGGGATAAACTACACAAGAACTGCTGTTAAATACCATATAAAGTTCTATGTACACATGATATGGCATGAAAATATGAAAAGGTAGACCATATTTACCCCCAATAGTCTTTAGTGAGCTAAACTGGTGGGTGATCCCTTTGTATGCCAGTAGAGTAGAGTCATAAGTGATAAGAAAACCACTCAGGGGACAGATAAAATATGGTCTATGTGCACAGGTCGTCAATATACTAGACAGGATTCTTGACAATGGAAAAAATAATCAAAGGAACCACAGAAAGTGGTCACAGTGGCCAGGTGGTCCTTATGTAGAGGTGATCACTTGTACAGGTATGAGTGTATATTGAAGTGGTCTTTCCATTTCAAAAATTCTGATGTGAATTTTGTGATCACAACGGCACATATTACACGTATTAGTAAGTAACAGCAATTTAACAAAATGCATGCAGGATTTTATCACTATAGATATTGTACTAGACTGGGTCTTTATATGGTAACCGTTAAATTGTTTCTTTGGAAAATCACCTGATTTGTCATTGCTAATTTCTATTGTTTTTGTTTCAGTGACGGGTTGGCACATTATAACTGACGGGGGGGTGTGGATCAACAACGTGAGACAGACAGACCCCCGTCACGTGGTAGTGCCCAGTCTGCACATACTGGACAACAACATCTCTATTGTCAGAATAGGTAAAACTCTTACAACTCTTGTATGTTTTCTACAATAAATAGTACCGTTGGAATTTCATACATCATGATGTATCTGTGTGTGTGTGTGTTTATACATTTCTTTAATTTAATTTGGCCCATTAGAAAGTGCATTCCGGTACAAGACATACATGTAGATTTACACCTTTATCAAGTACTGTATGCTACTACATTTTGTACGACTGCTACAATTTATGTAATAACTACATTGTACTATGTTGTCTTTATCATGTAGTATATTGCATCTTTTCATTCAAAAGATAAAAAAATCTACCACAGCCCTAATCCACATTTCATGTGCTATATACATGTACTTTTAGTTCAGAGATTTGATTTCGGAGCCCATACCACTTAACAGTTCAAATTAGGAAAAATCCCTAGTCCTAATAAGAGTAACTATGTATTATTTGTCATTTATTCAGTCCTCAACTTCTCTTGTGTTTCAGGAAAGAAAAGGTATCATCTCATCAAATGGATAAGATGACCATCATCTTCATCAGACCTAGTGGTATATTGCAGTTGTATTTGTACTGAGAAAAAGCTCCCTGGGACAAAGTTACTAGTAAGGCCACACCAATTTAATTTGTTGGTTCTTGGATTCGCCTCTTCATTTTTTCTGATTTGCAAAAAAAAAGAAGATTTTGGTTCTGAATCAACAAAAAAATGCTCATATTTTGCCCCAACAGTGAAGGAATGTCCTTTTCTTTCTATAGTTGTAACAGTTTTTCCATCTATCAATGCAGAGTTTAATTAAAATTTCAAAATTCATTGTTTAGTCCCAGCCTTTTGTGTTCACTTCACAGCATTTGGGGCTATAATAGGATGCCTAGACCTGTTTTTATTTTTATTTTTTCGCCCTGTCGCTTCATATATTTTCTAAAGAAATCCGAGAACCAACAAATTAAATTGGTGTGCCCTACATGTAATCTTCAGGGGTCAGAAATGACAAGAGACGGTTTTGTTCATCTTGCTTTATTCTGGATGCTTACAGTATCACACTGCATTCATAACAGTGTGCCAGACCCATCGTATGGGCCAGGTTTGGGACATACCTAATACAGCTCATACAGCACTCTACAGTCCAAGTGGTCAAGAAAAATACTATCATCTCTTTGGAAAGTAAACTTCTAGAGTAAATATCTGAATAAATATTGTAAATACATCTAAATGTCATGCTTGGAGATTACTTTGTTGTACTATGCCTCTACTTTTGTCCCTGTCAAGACAAATATCAATTCTGTGGTCATTATTAATATGACCTTGCCGGCATGACCTGCCATGGCTTTTGAAGAAGTGGGATGTGCAAGTTTAGTGCTAACATAGCTCCAGGCACATAGCGATCAGCAATGTGTTGCCAAACTAGCATCAGCATAACTACAATATACATGTACAGCACACAAATACATGATTGTACAGTGACAAATTTTTGAAAACAAATTGTAAGCTAAAGAATACAAGCACGACAGAATTTTGAAAAACATTGCTTTGAAGGTGAAGAAATTCATTCATTGAATGAATTACAATCATTGAAATTTGGTTGCTCATTTACAAATATCAAGGAGATTTAAACCTCCTTGCAAGTATCAACTGGTCTTTTTTTAATTAGCACAATCATTCACAGCATATGACAAGCAAGCTGGCACAATTGATATTTTATCCAAAGCAAAGACAAGCAGCAAACACATCACACATATCACACATATATGTGCTTCACATGAAATGTAAGGAAGTCTACAATAACTTAATGCCAATTGGCGAACATTTCAATTTTACTTACACCACATTTATATCACTGTAATAACTTGTAATAATATAATCATATTACATATAAATTACAATCTTGCAGCCTTGTACAACTCTAGTCGTTCTATCTCACGCATTGTCAGCTTTCCACATTCTCTACACACATTTACGTTTTTTTCTCTCACGAGCATGTCACACAAACATGGCTAACCACTCTAGCAGCAACAGTCAATACATCTCTCACCACAGCACCTATCTTACAACATGCTTCAGCTACAGCTTTAGTTGGAAGTTTGCCTGGAATGTACCATGCAGTGTATGTATTCATGTCTAACAACAGAGACTGAGCTCAATTAAAAAAAAGTACTTTTGGGCTTTGTACCAAAAAAAAATGATATGTAACTTAACTTGATAAAAAGGGTGGTAAGAAAACTAAGTCATACACCATAAAACAGTTACTCAAGCAACGGAATAAGATTTTGTCATATCCACTTGCTTGAGTAACGGTTTTTTGGCGTATCTCAATTACCTGGATGTCTAACCTTCACTGACGAAACTAAGTCATACATCCCAAAAAATTTCTTACTTCTTAGTCTGCTTTTAGGGGGGCAAAAACAATGAAGGATATCTGAATGAACAATTAACAAAGTAATGTAGAAGAACAGTAGTCAACAATTTTGAAGTGATATGCTGGAACTGAATCACTGATCAGATCTGAAACAAAACTTTCTTACACAAACTTTCTGTTCTGTAGCTTAAACAGGGAATGCATGTTGTTTACTAGCACCATACATGTACCGACCTACTTCTTAGGTCTATTATTTACATGAAACATAGCCATTTCATAATGCTATCAGGTTACACAAATGAGAAGTAGTCAAATAAATGAGATATAAATTTACAACTGAATACATGTATTTTGGAGTATACCAAGTTAATTAATATGTGATACATGTATGATGATGTATCTTTGTACAACAGTAGCATTATGCCATACCCTAACAAATATAGAAATACATTTTACTTTAAGCAAGTTAGTAACATCTATACATTGTACTTTATGTGACAATTTACTAGCGGCAAGGAACAGTAAAATTACTGACTAAAGTTAAACTGACTTTCTGTGTTCTTGTGAGTTCTCTTTGTTCACAAGTACTGCTGACAGAACACATTCATGTACCATCATTATAAGGTTCTCTCAGCGGTACTTGTACTTAGCCTTGTTGGTACTCACTGGACTAGTTAATGGTCTGTGCCAGCACTGCTCTGTCAACCATGGCTTATGAACTTTCCTGGCAAGTTCCCTCATGCCATGGGTAGCTCTTAAGGCCTTTTTGGGATCCTTCCAACACAAGCTTAGGTTGACAACTCCCTTAGAAGCATCAATCTTACGGCTACTTATTTTGGACAGCGCAGAGCTTTAATTAACCTGCAACAGTTCGTGTTGCCAATTTGTGAAAGTGGTTTCAGCAGGACCAAGCAGATACAGCACAGCAATGGGAGCCATTTGAAGGATGAGTTCAGTGTTAGAAGTTTACAAGCCTTGATGTCACTAAGTTCACCTACGAAAGACAGAGGTATCATCGGGGCAATTATAGATGGACACAATAATTGTTATATCTCTTCATCCCCATTTTCTTATTTTTCACCAAAAAAAAAACGTTATTTTCATTCATGAACAGTGAAGTATAAGATTTACTTTGCTTCATGTCCAGACTTTGGAATGTATTAAACTTGTGAAAGAAATACCTCCTAATAATTGCATCTAGTGTAGATGATTTTATACATTCATCAAACTATGACCCTCTCACTGTTGACTTTTGCTGCAAACAATACAACTTTGAGAAAGGTATTTTAAAAGTACTTACTAGCTAAATGATGAATAATGTGAGAATGATAATTATAGCTTGAGGTTTAATGTTGCTCTGCTTAAAAGAAAAAACTATATAATGATAAGTTCACAATTAATTCTCAGCTTAAAGCCTATCAATGTCTTGATCCGATTACTAATAGACTTATTCTTTAAATTACCTCATTTTTCACTGATTTGCATGACTAGGTCCAGTTAATTATTACTAGAAGAATTTTTCGGGGAAGATCTTATTTGTGATTGGTTTCTCGTGCTGGGGCGAGGTCCCGCCGTAGGGGCAGCCGTCCTCGTTGTGACACCCCGTACACTCCACGGTGGGCACGTGCCCGCTGTCCCACATGCCCGGCCCGCACGTCTTGCACAGGCCGTGGAGGGTGCAGGGAATTCTGGGAAGGAGGCGGAACTGGTGCAGCAAACCTCGAGCCTGGAGGCGAGTAGAGGAGAAATCAACAGTCAACACAAATAGAAAGTAGAAAGGTAACAATTGCATAAATGCATAATGTTTACCTTCGCATATGGTCTGCTCTGTTAATTCTTACTCAAAACACATTCATATATACATGGTCGGACAGGAGTCTAAATCCCTCCTGCTATAAAATTGCAACATGATGTAACCCAACACCAGTTACCATGGTGACAGATGTCTGGTGAAGGTCATTGACCTTATTTGTTTGGAGAAGAAGGAGAGGAAGAAGAAACAGCAAAAACAATATGTTAATGACAGTCCTTCTATGAAGGACTACAGTACATGTAGATTGTACAAAATTGTCTTGAATACGTCATGTACTACTAGTACCTAGTGTTGAATATTTTGCTCATTAAAATATCTCCAGTGTCACTGACGAAAGGTAGTGGATACTACCTGAAACGTCTGACCAAAATCATATCCAGTTGCTTGAGTAACTGTTTTCTTCGCATATCTAGATATGTACATTTAAGAACTTTTTTCACCTTTCTCAAGACAACATCCCCATTCATGTGCATGGCCAGGTTACTGAAGTGGAGCAGCATCTCGTCTGACGGTAGCTTCTGCTGCACCACATCGTCCCCGTACACGGCAATGATCGCCAGGCAGATGAACAGGTGGAAGTAGTCTGTCTGGTAGTGTGCCCAGCAGGCTTCCCACATCCTCAGGGCATCTGCCTCTGGAAACTCCCTCTGGTGGGGGAAAATGGTACTGCAGTTTAGTGCCAGCCAAGTGAGTAAAATATAACTCGGTAGATTATTGACAGAACTGAAGATTTCCTGGCAAGGTGAAAATTAAGATGTAGGGAAATTCCAGCACATATTACCAATGATGATGAGTTTACAGTGTAGCTGTAACAAAACATTTAAAACTTAAAAATACTGAAAAAGTTTAAAATGATTTAAAAATGTCTGCTTGCTGAATAGAACAAAATACTTGGGTTTGCAGGATTTTGATGTGATGAACCTAGAATCTTTTCAACATGTAAATATTGTAAACATCACTGAGGAACGAAATGTCACATTTGATTACGAACGTACATGTAGCAATGATCTTTGGTAAAGGTGAGGATTTATCCTTTTGATGGAAAACTGATGATGGGAAATGCCACCAACTACAGTCTGTCAAGCAGAAAGTTGGCTAGTCTACCGCTTGACATCTTCTGAGACAATTTTCTCTGACTCAAAGATCAATGTTGTGATCTTGCATGAGAGCCATGCTTAGTTACTGTTACAGTAACAGTTATAAGATATTGAAAAATAAAAAAAAAAACATTGTAAGACTGTGAACATCATTTTTTTCTAAAGACATTATGCTGAACTACACTTGTCAATAACAATAGATTCGAAACACCGAGAATGTTGTGAATGTGTTATAACTACTTCATATAGGACTGTTCAGTTATAGCAAAGGCTGTAGGACTGATCGATATCGATTTAATTTAGGATTTTATAATGGAGGGCATATATAGTACTTCAGCACAAAGTACATACTTTTATTAGAAAGAAATTTTTTATGTAGAAGATGAACATCTAAAACTGCACCTACAGACAGCATCTGTGGATAGAACTAGACAAGGACAATCACCTTGAAACAGAGCAGGATCCATCTATGACAGAAGAGAAGTTCCATGGCGTCCCCCAGGGTGACCAGGTGTTGGTAGAAGTTGGGCTGCATCACTCTCAACAGCTCCCGTAGGTACATCTAGAAAACAGGTGGGCCAGAAAATAAGGATTTTTAATTCAACGCTTTCCTCAGATGGCGTAAGTATATTGATGTACATATTGTGAAAAGGCACAGTTTCAATCAGTCCACAGATGAGAAAACTCTGCATGTAATAAATAGTTCTCCTGTGTGATAAAAAAAATCTGTAAATATTTCAGTAGTAAAGTCTTGAGTAAATAGTAGAGTGGACTCATTCCTCAAGCTAATCGATATCTTGCACACGCAGTTGTCCCTCATTAAGACATCTGGAGCCACGTAGTTCATGTTTAGAACTTTTATTCAGCCTGTCACACAACTGGTTTTGCCTAGTTTGTAGCTTCTTGAAGTGTACAGAAATCAAATGACACAGGTTCACAAAGTTCTGGCTTTTATACCTATCCCAGTAGTAAAGTTTTAAGTTAATTTTTGGGGAAATAATTCAAGTAACGATTGAAAAAGGGCCAAGTGGTCTTGACACAGAAGTGATCATCACAAGTACAGTTTGACTGTACCCAAGTGTTTTAAATCTTTCTTCAGAGGAAACTGGTCCAGGAGTGAAGAAGGGACCACATTTCTCACCAGCTGTTTGTCCATGTCTGCGTCAGTGGGAGAGCTGACAAAGATGGTGTTCTGCATCAGTCCCACAAAGCACCAGAAAGCGTCGGCCTCGTCGTGTACCTCCACCAGTACCGGGGCCAGCAGGTCAGACATGCCCTGGGTGTACCCCATCGACGGGTTGTAGTACGCATAGTTCAACAGGATCTTCCTGGAATAAAAAGGTTTATTTGGTCAAAATACAGTGTCCCAACAATGATTTGTTTGGTCAAAATAGAATGTCCCAACAGTGGCAGCCAAAGGGCTTAAATTTGATCGGGACATGAGTTTAAAAATCATATTGTAGTACAACAAAATTTAATACAAAAACAACATAAACCAGTAGTTTTAGCTGTTAAAATTATTATAGTTACTGTACTAGTGACAAAATTACGATAAAATATGTAAAATATAAACTCATCAACATACATGTAACGTTACATGTAAAATCCTCATCATTTCCAAGTATGTTTTGACTTACAATGTATGTTGTGGGTGTCATAAAGGCAGATTATGAAAGGGATTACACTCGTCTGATGGAAATATATCGATCCAGTTCAGTTCACTGAAGAGCACATCTAATGCTTGTGTCAGGTACATGACTGTACATAGATTCAATGTACCAAGGCATGTCCCCTAATTCTTTTTAATACAATATTTTAGTGGTATTTAGAAAAAAGCACAATGCAATGTCAGGAACAATAAAAAAAACTTGATAATGTTAGTTTGTCCAGCCATCTATGCAGCAGATGCCCAGCACAATAACTTCTGTGCACTGCCGTCCAAGAGGAGACGACTGTCTGAGAGTTTCAATAATTGTAGTTTTTGGAAGGTTGTGCATTCATACATCACACCACTGTTACATAACGGAAATGTAAGGAAGGATGTGACAAATACATCACTTTGCCTGTGCATGACTGTACAGCATGCATGGAATGGCCTGGCGGTGATTGTTTCTGTTATCTTATCTAGCTCTCACGAGTTGAACACATTCCTCTCCGTGAAGAAGGAAGAAGAGGGCTGGCACTGACTCAGGTGTCTGCATGGTTATATATTACCGTGCCATACTAGCAAGATTAGGCCACAGCAAGTCAATTTTATGGATGACATCCTCCGCAGACTCCAAATCTAATGCGATAGGGGAAAAAAAACAAGGCGGGCCAAAAAAAAAAACAAGATTCCTACAGTTTTAATGATATTGTGCTGTATTGTGCTAAGTTTACTACCAACTATAACATCCATTCCTCACTGAAACAACTTTGAAAAACAAACATTTTCCATCACTGTAGAAATGATTTTGATCTGGTGGGAACATTACATATACACAGCCACCATCACATAAAAAAGGAATGAAATACATTTACTGTATCAAAGTAACTGATAAAACAATAAATCAGAGCCCTGTCTTGTCTCCTCTCTTCATATTTATCTGCCATCCACGTTCCGGCATGGCAACAGGCATTTTCAGCATGTTGACTACTTTCAGAGAACAACAAAATTTTTTTCCCCTAAAATCAGGCGAAAATTTAATGCGCGCGCTGATGTCATCCATAAAAATTACTTGCCGTGGCCTTACTACATCCAATGAATTACAATGCCCTATCGTAGGGCACCAGATACATGTACATGTATGTCACATTGTCACAGTGCCAATTTCACATTGATTTCATGATAGTATGGATTGCACATAGTGATACACACTACAACTTAATCAACACATTTGTCAAAGCAAAAATATCACTATCCGATCTTGGTCCATTGGGTACTTGTTACATGCATTGTCTCAATTGCAAAGTTTATTGATTTAAAAGCTGCACCCAACATTCTGGACTGTGTTCAAGAAGACACACATTTGGGGATGTACCGCTATATTTTTCCCAATCAATGCAACATCAATGATCCTATGTCTGTCATCAAAGAATAAAATGTTGAATTATTATACTACAAAGTGCAACAGTATTTCATAGCATATAGAAGCCAAGTAACAATGTAAGACTATCTAATGAAAATCTCTGATGGTCCAAGGCATTATCAATTGGAAATTAACATGTATATAACAAGTACCCAGTTAATTTTTTGTCTAAGAGTAAGAATGAAACTTTGCATTATCCATTATTTCAGTCAAAGAAGAGCCAAATTTATAAATGACCACAGTACTGTAATTCCTGATTTTATTCATGGTACAAATGTGTACTTTTATGTTCACAGTTATTAATGCTAACAAATCAATTGCTGACTTTATCGATTTTATGGTCCTGCCATGACACAGTAAAACTATAAACACCTACATTTTTCTGAGACTGTGACATTTTGCTACCGTGAACATAAAGTGAATTACAGTATACCAGAGCTCAAAATACTATGTGCAGCTTGGTGCACCCAAATTTGGAGCTATATTTTCGTCTTTTATATTTTCGTAGGTTTATGTAACTATGTAAAGATGCTAAATGTATAGTAGTATACAGCATATTCTCAACATCTAAGTGTCAGCAAAATAGTAAAATCATTGTAACAGTTATAGTACTTTTCCTTTGAAATGAAACATAACTACATGTATATACAAAATGTATGGTGCACCCAAAAAGTTTTTTGTGCACCAAATGTTTTAGGTTGGGTACACCAGTTCACCTATTCCCAGAAATAAATTTCAAGCCCTGGTATACTGAATGGGAATATGTGGCTTGAAACACAGCTCTTCTTGCATACCTCATGATCTCCACGTGTGGGTTGTTGTCCCCCTTGAAGTATGGATTACTCCTGTCTGTCCGTACCACGTCTTTGTCCACTGTTACCTGCACGGTTCTCCAGAAGTGCTCCTTTTCCTCATCAGACATGGACAGTCTGAAAACACATCCACAAACACAAAAACAGTCATGAATATCACAAGAGATATCTGTACAGTATGTCTAGCACTTGATCTAAAGATGTAATTATTTTTAAGCTGATGTATATGGCCTTATATGAAGTTGTGTTTTACATTATTTTGCTGTTGTTGTACATGTATTCTATGTTTTGTATGTTTTCCTGTGTGTCATGATTGTTGTGTGTTAGAATAGAACGGACCACAGGAATTAATGTATGCTAAGTGTGGATCTCAATAAACTCAAACTTATTGTCCCAGATATTCTTATATGCCTAATTCACTATATACATTCAAGTCTACCATCTTCTATACCAGGATTTCTCTCAATGGATTGAAATAACAAAGTCAATGTACAAGACTAGTACAATCATATATTCCGAGAACAGTATTGATCACAATACCTTTGGTTCAACAACTGCATGTCTAACCCAATGACTAAATTTGAATTTTGAAATGTACCTTAAACCCGTTTCAAACCCAAGGGACTGTTTAATTTGACTCTTCAATGTATACTAGTATTCCCGAGTCACAGGTTTGGTCTACATTCTTGCAGTTGACAAGAGAGACAAATGATACTTCCACCTAGCACCCCCCCTGGTTATCTACAAAGTCATGCATACAGCACAGTAGTGTATCAGACTGGATCGTCTGGCGCTCCATTGAAGTGCAGCACACAATGTAAAACATCCAATCAAACGCGGAGGGCACTAAAACACTCGCAGAGCATCTCGCGTGTGCACCGCTGCGTGAAATTGGATGGGATGGTGGGCGTGGGAGTTCAACGTTAGAAAAAACCTCGCCGTAAACATGGCATTCACAGTAACACTGGGACCATGAAAATGTACAACCGACACTGCTGGATATGTGGCTTGGGGAAACGGGAACCTACACTCCTGAATTAGAAATCTCCACTGTCCATATCATAAAATCAGAACCACTATAGATGAAAATTGTGCCTCCCTATGCAAGCCATTTGATTTTTATAAGACTTCCTAAACATGTTAAATGTGGACAGGTGCCAGACTATTTGGCAAGGGAAGCAATCACAGAAGTGGGATGGAGCTGGAATTATAGGATGGATGCCAGGGTAGCGTGTTAGCCTGACTACATCACCATTCTAAATATAGCAGCCTGTCAACTGGACAGGCCCATAGAAGCTTGATGGGCAAGATCTTCACCTCAAATGAATGAGAAATAGAAATCATCTTAATATGTTGATCTATGCATATACATGTATGCTCACATGCATGGCTCAATAATAATATTGTCAGACTGAAAACTGTCTGTTAGGGGCTGTAATGACTGTTTTCCATTGTGACAGAGAATCATAACCGCCTGTTGGGCTTATTTTCATAGTGACAACAAGTCCTGAGCTCCTACATTTTTGTATAGTGGTAGTTCTGGGAATGAGAATAGTTCTCTCAAGCTAGCTTAGAGGTGTATGGCCACAAGCTCTCAGGGAAGTCCCCCCAATCTGCCAATGACAGCGAGAGATTGACGTGTAACACAGGCCATGTAGCATGTAGGAGCATGTCGGCAGAACATACTGCACCTGCACGAAACCCGCAATGTACTGTGCACAGCACTTCGGTAGAACATCTCATATAACTTCGTATTCGCGTATATAAGGTTAACATCCCGTCTGTAGTTTCCAAATGTTATGCTGGAAAAGATATCGCTTGCAACAGGTAAAATTCCCATGCAACGTTGACCAAACATCCAATGAAAACTGTCAAAAATCAGGGTTTCGCGCAGGCGCAGTACGTTCTGCTGACGTGCTGTAGGCTGTACAGTAGGCTGTCGCTGACCTTTTGTCCTGGATGGCCTGGTACTCAGCTGACATGCGGTGACAGTACTCCTCCCTCCCCTCGGAGGTGAACTGGAAGCAGAAGTAGTGCAGCAGGAAGGGCCACGCTTCCTTTCTCACACTCGGGTCCAGGCCTCCGAAGAAAATGGCCTGTGCAACAAGACATGTAAGATACTGGTATCAAGATTGGGGAAATCAAAAGGAACCAAAATTTAACATTGGAATGCTTGAGGGAATGTACATTTTTCAAGTACACCAGAAAAAGAATCCAATTTCCATATCCTAAGAATTGTTAAACAGGAATATCATCAGAGTATTCATTGATTTTCTTATCTCTCTTTTTTCCTACAAAGTTACACAAAACCAATTATAAAGCTGATGGTCTTCTATACACATTTTCCAGGCACATATATTACATTTCAATCTTTGGCATACTGCTGAAGCATCCATGCACTAAACTTGTACGGGCATAGTGATGATGAATGAGGTAGGATAAGGTTGAGGGCTACTCTTTCTAAAATGTTCTCTTGAAAGGCCCGGGTTCGAGTCCTGACATGCCACCAATCTTGTGGCCTTAATCAATCCGTAGAGCGTAAACGGCCAGTTTAATTCTACGTTGAGTGTAGATGGACCGCTTTAGTTTAAATTAATGTAAAGCACATTTTTTGTAGAGCGTAATTCGTTGTTTTAACATAATTCTACAGTCATAATGCATTGTAGCTATCCGGAATTTATCATAAGGCGCAATGGGGAGGCTTCTTGAATTCAGCGTAATACATAGCCGGCTCTCAAAATTTAGCTTAGAGCGCTGTTGGGGACCCCCCCCCCCCATGGCAGGCCCTCTTACAATTTCAATAAATCAAATCAAAGGCCAACATCTGGTTCACCTTCTTCAAGCTCTCCTCATCCTCGACCTGCCCGCGCTCGTTGAAGTAAGACTGCCAGATCTCCGGCGTGATGGTCCCGTACACGTCCTCGTCTGGGTGGCACTCGATGGCGGTCACGCTGGGCCGGTTAATGGAGAACTGCCGACAGAACTGGTCAGACAAACCCTGCAGAAATACACCAAGAAAAAGTTAATTTTCAACTAGAAAGGTAACATTTGCAAAGCAAATGCATAAACCTTCTCATATGGTTTGCTCTGTTAATTCTTACTCAAACACATTCACACACTCAAACACATTCATTATGTGTGATATATGAGCACATTATATGTGCTCTCAACAGGGAGCTCCCCTACAGTGAAAGGCTAAAAAGGCTTAGACTTCTGTCCTTGGGGTATAGAAGAAGAAGGGGAGATATGATTCAGGTGTTCAAGTTCCTGACTGGGCAGGAAAGGGTACAGTCAGACAGCATCTTCGAGTTAGCAAAGGGAACAACAAGAGTCCACAACTTCAAGTTGAAGGTAACACTGGCGAAGTCAAGGAGTAGACAACATGTATTCATGTGAAGGTCATCAAAGACTGGAATTCGCTGCCGTCGAGTGTAGTATCCAGTGAATCAGTCAACCAGTTTAAAACAAGATTGGATCGACACTGGGAGCATCTAAAGTACGAAGAAGGCGTCTAAGATCAGTCCACAACAGGCAGGAAGAAGCCTTACTCGACTGAAGACGGTATCAAGGTATTATATGGTCAGACAAGAGTCTTAATCCCTCCTACTATAACATTGCAACATTATGTAACCCAACACCAGTTATCATCGTGACAGATGTCTGATTCAGGTTATTGACCTTATTTTTGGAGAAGAAAAGGAAGAAGAAACAGCAAAAACAATATGTTTTCCTTCTGCGAAGGTTACATTGAAATGTTCCCATCCATTTTGTCTGTGTGTGTTATAACACGACTGTGATCTAGCTGTAATGTGACACGAAAAAAAAAGCGAACCACATAAATTTTTGCAGCATATTCCTATGAGAAATAACCATCCCTTGGAGAATGTATCTCCTGGTCACAGAACTGAACTCACAGCCATATAACTGGATATAATCTACACCATCTGCACTGAACACTCCTGGCAAGATGATGATGTTATAGCATGACTGTGATATAGCTGTAAGGTGACACGAAAAAAAAGCGAACCATATAAATCGTTGCTTCCTAAGAAAAAATTACCATCCCTTGGGGGATGTATCTCCTGGTCACAGAACTGAACTCACAGCCATATGAGGCCACACCAATTTAATTTCTTGGATAACGGATTCACCCACTTCATTTTTTTCTGATTGGCAAATAAAAATAAAAATTCAGAATCAACTGCAAAATGCTCATACATGTATTTTGCCCTGAACAGTTGAAAACAGTCCTTTTCTTCCTAGTTGTTACAGTTATTTCATTTTTCAATGCAATGGTATCATTAAAAGTTCAAAATTAAATTTTGAACCAGCCTGGTGTGTGACTTCATGGCTCCTATCGTACCATTTTCGTCCATAATAGAATGCCTAGGTCTGTTTTTATTTTTATTTTTATTTTGCCCACCCACTCCATTATTTTTCTAGAAAAATTCATTAACCAAGAAATCAAATTGGTGTAGCCTAACTGAATATAATCTACACCATCTGAGCTGAACACTCCTGGCAAGCCTATCATTCCTGGACTCATAAAACTGAACTCTCATTAAACAGCACTGCGGTACCCTACATAACACTAATCCCTTAAGCCACACTAAGCTTTGAACCAGAATATGGTCAATATTAATATATCTAGGTCATGATGTCACACGACAGACGGGGCATAAAAGTTCCATCAGCAGAGATCATGGAATTCTGCTAACAGCACAATTATATAAAAATGGGATTTAGATGGAGATATTAATGAACAGATGGTGGAGTGGCCTCTTCTGCCTCAGTAAATATTCTATGGTTATGACCAGAGCACAAAAATCCTATCAAGGCACACTGATTACTTTGGGGGGAAAAATCTGATTAAACATATATGTGATTACTAAGAATCATGAGCCATCGTTTTACTTTAAGATGTCTTGAAAAAAATCAGAATCGTTTTTGGAAGTTATTGACATGATGAGTTAGATGGCAATGCTATTTTCTTTAAAATTTGTATCACATGTGAAAAAATGATCAACTGAGCCTATACATGTAGGTCTCTTGAATAAAATGATTCTATGGCAGTGAAGAAGTAAGCTAAGATATAGGAGTCAAGAAAAGAAGGGTAATTTTTGACATAACAAAACAACTATTGAATGTTGGTCTTGACTCAAATCATTGCAGTACCATATAGCATGTACATGGCACATACTGGTAACACTCAATAGTCTCTTAACAATACATCGCTACAAAACTGAATCAGATGTAAATCCACAACGCTGGTCAACATGAGATTTTCAGCCCTAAGGCCACACCAATTTAATTTTTTGGTTAACGGATTTTTCTAGAAAAATAATGGAGCGGGCGGGTGAAAAAAAAAATTAAAAACAGACCTAGGCATCCTATCATGGCCCAAAATGGTACGATAGGAGCCATGAAGTCAACACACGCAAAAACTTTGCAGTTGATTCTGAATTTTTATTTTTATTTGCAAATCAGAAAAAAATGGAGCGGGCGAATCCGTTAACCAAGAAATTAAATTGGTGTGGCCTAAGGCATACAAAACAGGACAAGTACACATGTATCAGACAAATCCACTTCCACTGCAGTTGTTTGTCAGGTAGTTTCAGAACTACCAAACTTTCAGCACCTTGGGCAAAGTTTGACTTTATTCGGTTTGAAGTTCTAATGGCTGGGACATGTTTTCACAACAAATCAGTAGCAGACTATGGCCTGCTTTACACAGGCCATTTCTAAGTCAACTTGGCGAAGTCGACTTGAAAAATTTCTGTTTACACATGGGGCTGCAAAGCGACTTGGCACTCCCGCTGTGCCACCCTCCCCCCAAGTCGACTCGGTGGCTCGGTCTTGCCTGACTACTACACAAGAGACGCTCAAGTCGACTTTGCCCGTTTACACACACAAAGCTAGCGGACTCGGCACCCCGCAGGCCGACTTAAGTCTGGTTTGGATACGACTCAAGTCCTCTTGATTAGAATGCGACTTGAGTTGAATTATTTCTCTTTACACAGGGAAATTTCCGCTCAAGTCGACTAGCTCAAGTCGTCTTGTATGTTCTAGTTCTAGTTGACTTGAAAAAGTTATGTGTAAAGCAGGCCTATATCCGGCCTATTCCTCACATACATGTTAATAGTTACACCAGATTGTGGTAGATGATGGATGATTCTTGGGAAATAACAAGTGATGAATTGCCTGGAATGAGCATTTGCTGTATAACAACCTTTCGATTCAGCAGGGTTCCTGCTGTGAAAAACAATCAATTTGGGGGAAGGTCACAGTTACTTGATGAGGAAAAGCCAAAGGTCGTTATTTGTGTGACCTTCAAGGTTGCATTCAAGGGCATGATTGGTGTGTCAACGTCATTGTTCTAAATACCTGTACCTGCTTGCACAGCACTGAATTTGACAGGTGGTGATAAAAGAAAATAGTAGCAAACATGTTCCTGATGACTTGTGATGTATCCAGTGTAATTCTGCTGCACAAATGAGCCAACAAATTGGAAAAGTATGTAATATGTACACTGACATCCGTAAGCGTGCTTTTTGTCCGTATGTTTTCTTGGGGGGCCACATCTGCTACGTTTTTCTGTCAACGCACGACACTCGCACAGTTGCACAAGGTGTAAGAGTTTGCACATGGTTTGCACGCCACGTCTGCGTGCATCGTTCATTGCGCAAGCGGTGAGTCGTACATGCTTACAACGTACGATCTCTGTGCGATTGCCACTTTAACGTAAGGAGGTCCTACTCACACATGCGTCTTACATGTACATATGGTACGTACGAGGCACGCACATCGCTCGTATGGGTGGTGAATCCACAGACCGCATGCAGAAAAAGTTTTAAATGCACTTTAAGGTCTACGGTGTGTCTGCGTGCTCCCAAATCCGAAGGATTCTGTACAGATCAGAGGTGGTACTCACCACTTACGGATCCCCTACGTTTGCCCACATTTTTGCGCGTAGACAGCACGCAGATGCACGTAAGGTGGGTTGTGACTGACGCTTAAGTTATGCAAAGGAGGTTCTTTGGTGCATTGTAGGCAAACAATAACTCTAAAATATGACTGGGTTAATCTGGACCAAAATTATGTAAATCCCCAAGAACCAGACGAATGATTTTTGTCAGAACCAACAGCTTTGAGTGCTAAGAAACTCAGGGACCACTAGAGCATCAGCGTACACCATCCAACTGTGACACCATCAGAAACGGAATCTGTAAATCACAAAATATGAAACAATATTTCTTGAGCGAGCCAAACTTTTGAAAGATGCCCAAGGGTGTAGTTGTGTCTGGTAGAGAATATAATCTATCAAAAACAACTGACAACGTCGTTGCACACACAAATTGAAAGCAATGGAACAGAGATGTTCTACAGGTAGTCATTGATTAATTGATTCTAGTGAAACAATGATGAATCATTGTGTTGGGAGACAATCAACACATCACTGCTAAAAATGTAGCTTTTCTCATAATGGAATAAATATATCAGGGAAGACAGAATGTATTTTTGTTGTTGTCTCAGACTTGGCTGAAAGCAAAAAAACTAGCTCTCTGAATCCTTGTTTTCCTTGATAGGCCACACCGACTTGATTTTATGGATGACTTCTGCACGTGCTTTGATTTTCACCTGTTCTAAAAAAAATGTTGACCGAGGCTCTGGCCTGGCTCTATGCCTGGGTAGTCCATGGTAGTTAGCGACAATACGAAGCCGAGCACCCAGGCTACCAAAGCTCCACGACTTAAGAACTCAGTACATACCGTACAGTGCCGATTTATAAATTCCGCAAATTTAGCCAGCATGTGCCAGTGGCTTGTCGTACATGTTGCTAAGTACGTACATACTGCTGCAAATTCACAATTATACCAGCTTTGTATTCCTGTGGTTAAGTAGCATTTTTATTTTGGGCCGGATTTTTTTTTAATCACCCGCGCGCACTAGTTTGGAGGTCTTCAGAGGATGTCATCCATAAAATTAAGGCCTTAATGTCAGGTGTTAAATTTGAAATGAAATTCTTGAGTCAGAGTCATATTTTTATCCTCCCATCCACCACCTTCCGTAAGTTCTCGTAAGTTTAACTACTTAAAATTTCCCTTTTCTCCTGTGAGCCATCAACATTTCAAGTGATGACATGAAAATGGAAAATATCACCACCATGTGATTACTTCAAGCACTACATAAACGCCCTTGGACACTTCTGTCTTCCAAAGCAATCCTAAAAACTGTTTTCCTGTCTCTGTACGGATGAACAAGTGATTCTTGATGGTTGAGATGGGAAAACAGAAGTATAAACTGTAATCCTTGATGGCTTTAGAGTTTAAAGACGTCATCATTATTTGTCAGTCTAAACCTTAGGGTATAGGCATCTGGCAAATGAATAGTAAGTTGTTGCAAATTATTTCTAAGGCCACAGCAAGTAAATTTTATGGATGACATCCTCCTCAGATTCCAAATCTAATGCAAGCGGGCCAAAAAACACAAGGTTTCAAAGATTTTGACTCAATCATTGTTCAGTACAAATGGTTTTGATTCAGTGGAAACATCACATATACACAGCCAGCATCACATATCACTGCATCAAAGTAAAAAACAAATTAAACATTAAATCAGAGCCTTTTCTTGTCTCCTCTCTTCATAGTTATCTGCCATCCACATTCCGGCATGGCAACAGACATCTTTGCCCATTTTCGGCATGTTGACCACTGTCAGAAGGCAACAAAATTTCTTTTTTTTTTTTTTCCAAAATCAGGCGAAAATTAGTACGCGTGCTGATGTCATCAATAAAAATTATTCGCAAGACACAATTATTATAAGGTTTCATTCATTCATTCATTATATGCAATTTGAAAGCTTCTTGCAGCAAGCAAAACATGATATAATACATGTACATGTATAATGTAGATGGAAAATGTGTCAACCAATTTTGTAACCTCTTTACATGTGATGTTAACTTTCCATGTCTGCCAGAAGCCCAGGCAAAAAGTAAGACAGATGACACTTGATTTTTTGTTTTGTAGCCAACCCAGAAGATCCATTAAAGACTACCGATCCATTTTACCTTTTGTCACAATAACATTGCTCCTGGTACTATGTAATTCAAAGTGGCCGTTGTTACACATAACATTACTGGTACATGCATGTACCTTACTGTATCTTAATATGGGCAAAATATGAGAGATGGTACATGTCCTATATTACAGGCCCACAGGTGCTTCTGTTCCAATTATTGGACTTTTGATGTTTCACATAAAAATAGACATTACAACAAAAAGTACAGAAAGAGAAACCAGGCAACGTCATTGATTATATGACAAAACACAGCTCCAAAATGATGGACTGTTAGAGTTAGAAGTCAGGGATAAGTTTTGAATTCTGCTCAGTTGAATATGTATGCCTGCAGCTTTCTTCCCAGTCTGGGGCAAAGGCATTGTCTCGTCTTTGATAGCTTTGCAAATCCATCACGCAGAAATGATGGAGTACCAAAACTTCACAGCATAATGGTGACAGCATGGTATGCATTAGAAATAAGTGATATATATCACATTGTCAGCCATTGTATACCAGTGCGCAGCCAACTAAATCGGCAAATCTTTGAGAATCACCAAGTATCCAATAACACATTCTACCTTATAAAGCTCCGGGACTACCCATGTGTAGAGAGAGGAAACTGACACCCTGACATCCCCAATTGTAATGACTTCCTTCATGGATGATTGTCGACAGTAAAAAGAAATCCAATTTGTAGAAAATCTCTCCATGAAAATCCAAGAGTCATTTATCATGATATATAGTGCTTCAGTTATATTGGAACCTTGTATGTGCGAACAGGCACAACCTACAAAGAGTTGACCGGATGCAATTTAAAGTCGAGGGCGTTCAACTTCGTTATTTGGTCCTGTACTAAAAAAGAAGAAGACTCTACATGTAAGACATCAGTGGCTGCATTCTAACATGAATGCATGTACTCTGTTTTTATGCTGTAGTCCAATCTTTTATTTATTTTAAGGCCCCAAAAACTCCACAAAAGCTAATTATATTACTCGCAGGAAATAAACATGATACTACTTACTATACTCAGCTGACAATTTCTCATAGAGCAGAATAACCGTAAAAAGGACATTGAACCAAGTTTAAAGCAGCAATTGCTGCCTATAATTGAGAAAATCACAGCAATATTGAATAATCAGATATCTCTGTCCCATTGGGGCACAAGTCATAAAAGTTAAGGTTTTACAGGTAAGCTTTTAAACTGGCAGAGGGGGTATAAAAATCCAGATAGGCAGTATGCCAGGAGTCAAACCTAGTAGTCTCCACATCGATCACAAAGTAAAATCATAAAGTGGCTGAGAAATTGGAGTTCACTGCACTTACATTGATGAAGGTTAGACATCCAGGAAATATGGCAGAAAGCAGTTAAGCAACTGGATAATTTTAGACTTGAAAAAAAATTGTCTGCACTTAATTGCATATCAATCAATAGTTCATACTTATAAACTTGCTTTTCTGACAACTCTCCAGTGTCACTGACAAAAGTAGTGGATGCTACCTAAAACGTCTGACCGTTTCCAAAATTATATCCAGTTGCTTGAGTAACTGTTTGTTGACTGCACTTACTTTCGCTGCAGCAGCCACTTCATGAAATCTTTTCCATGGCTTGACAACCCGCAACTCCATAGTAAAAATGCATGGCCTTCATGTACAATGTACCTACGTAGTTGTACTTTGGCCAACAGATAAACTTTAGCATCATTTTGTAAACAAGTGTGACACTACTCTGGTCTGCAGTTAGCTCTGAGGGCTAATAATTAATTGATGACCTTGATGATGCAATTTGAAGACATTGATTGAAATATTTCCCATGGTTCCACAACCCATGAATGCCGGGCCTACAATGTACCTTGTTGTACTTTGACTAACAGATACACTTTAGCATCATTTTGTAAACAAGTGTGACACTACACTAGTCTATACTATTAGTTAGCTCCCAGGGCAAATAATTAATTGATGACCTGATAAGATGACATGATTGACATATGTCTGTCTAAATTTCAGTGACACAGGGTACATGTAGTTGTCAGAAATGGGATGGCTGGTAACATAAATCATCATTAGTTAAACGTCATTTATCTGTGCAAGAAAAAGGAAAAAAAAGACTACTTTGAACCATGCAAAAACAAATGCCAAATAAAATCTAGACCACAATCTTACAACATCTGATTGAAATTTTGGATGACCATTCATAAAAAAAAATAAATTCAACATTCATCTGTTTCAGATTTATTTTCAAATACTAGTTATCTTTCCGTTGAAGAGATTCATTTGTCACGTACGGATACAGTTCCTAGTGAATTCTTTCATCAGTGACAACTTTGGAAGGATAAGGATACTAACCTCCAAATTTTCGATGGCTATCAGTCCATCTTGTTCACGGAGTGGCCTAATCTCGCGAGAGCGCGAGACTAGGCCCGAGACTTGCATCGGTCTGTCGGGTCCCACCCCCCGCTGCCTCCCTCCGAAGTAAGGGTAAGTAAGTCTTGGGGAGCTCCCAAAGTTGGAAGGTGCCAAGCTAAACCGGACAGAAGGTTGGGAACTCCCCAAGACTTACTTACCCTTACTCCGGAGGGAGGCAGCGGGGGGTGGGACCCGACAGACCGATGCAAGTCTCGGGCCTAGTCTCGCGCTCTCGCGAGATTAGGCCACTCCGTGAACAAGATGGACTGATAGCCATCAAAAATTTGGAGGTTAGTATCCTTATCCTTCCAAAGTTGTCACTGATGAAAGAATTCACTAGGAACTGAAAGGTATCTTTCCAAATTCAAATGATCAGTACTATCCAATATACTAAGCTAACAAAAGGGTATGCCATCCTGTAAGGGGCAGTATAACCCTGACCAATACACACACAGTTGACCGATGACGATGAATATACTATAGAATATTTGAACAGTCATGTACATGTAATCTCAGTATCCAAGCCCACCTTGTTAGCCTTGGCCTGTGTACAGTGTCTCCAGTCTTCAAACATCTCTGCCAGCCTGTCCAGTCCTCCATGGTGGAAGTGCAGGATCTTGTACTGACTCTCCCTGCTGGCAATCACCAGCTGACCACAAGTGCCATCACCATCACTATATCAGGCACACAAAAAACAGATTACATTCTCACTGTCAAATTTTGCTGTAACAAACATGGCCTAGACATGTGTGAGAAGTAATTCAAGTTCAAAATTGTAAAACCAAGGTGAATAAATGAATTATAATAATTATTGTTTTTCTTTGAACAACATATACAATATCATGACATTGTAGTTGCATAATACTACAGTCATGCATCTGTATCTGTATCGTAGTATTTACCAATATTAGCTGGCCATGGCCCAGTATGCATGTAACCTTTCCTTTGGGGTAACATATACATGTAAGTCCAGCTTTTGTGTAGAAACCAGCAAACTGATTTAGAGACTAGTACAAAATGTACTTGACAAAATTGAATATGTAAGCTCAATATACAAATGATTGTCCATTAAAAAGTTACTTTTCATATGAAGAGGTGATTCTACTGGTCTACTAGTCAATTTGTTAAAGGTCTTACATAAAAGCCTGCAGCAAAAATTTCAGAGAATACAATGTGATGTCGAGACTACTTTCAGTACTTTTTTCAGACCACAGTTTGGATTCGAAGTTCCAGAACCATAAAACAGCATTTTTTGTGGCCTTCACACTTGATATTGAAGACAGTTACATTTTTATGCTACACCAGGTACAACATATTAGTCCAAGCAATGGAAGCTGGAATGACAAACTGCATGATAAAGTCAGCACCTCATCATTTGCCAACTCGGGAATATCAAATATTGTCATATCAATCTTTTAATCTCTTCATCAATTCCTTATATCTTTTAATCATTTTCCTGTACACTACTACAAATTTAATATCCCTATTAACAACTATGCGCAGATTGAAGTAGGTCTTTTGTTCATTACAGGCTCAGAAGATAAATTTCGGACCAAAATGAGCTTGAAGAATAGGTACATTTCCCTTTGTCTGGGAACAGTCTCTATATCGCCCAAACGGCCGTTAACATAAGTCATGTGTAATGTACGCGCTATTCAGCAGAGGAAACATGACCATTATGCCCATAGATCGCATCCATAATTGAATGTTTATGGGGTGTGGTGCCGCATTTCTCAAGTAACTCTTGACGGCTTAATAGCGGCAGCACGTATCGGTGACGGGTAATTCCAGGAACGCGTAACAAGGTTTTAATTCCGCCTGGCGCAGTTCTGGACGGACAGACGACAGTTATGTGTATAATGTGTAATACCAGTGCCAGAACTATAGTACTCTGGGACCAAAGAACTGGCAGATAGAATGACAGGAGATGGAAAATTTGGAGGCTCAGTGCCAGCAGCTATTTGTTAGTATTGAAGCCATATAGTTACTTCAGATAAATGCATACAGGGCTTAGATCTTTTTTAGCCTGGGTTCCATCCTGGTTAGTTTACGTCCGCTCCCACAGTCGCTACCACCAACGCGACATTAGGAGCAGACGTAAACTAACCAGGATGGAACCCAGGCTAGATCTTTTTAGGGGTAGGTCAGTAAGCATCATGGAGGGTGTCAAAATGATGTTAAGTCATGGAGTACAAGACATGAACAATAGCTAGGCACAAGGTTTGGGCAGAAAAAATGTAGTACAAAATTTCAGGAAAAATTAACAGTTAATTTTATGGACTCGGAAACAATAAATCTCTCTCTCCAACATGAACCAGATTACCCATTCAAAATTTACAGGAATGTGAAGTTGGTTGTGAGTCAAATAAGTCAGTTGACCTACCATTATCTATATTGAAAATTGTTTCACATCCACCATAACACATACATTTGTACATGTACATCATGATATACAATGACAAACAACTCACTTGAAGAACAACCTGAGTGACCTCATTTGACCCAAATCAGCAGAGAAGACACCACACAGTTGCTCCCGCGCTGAGCCGGGCCCCTTCAACCCCACCTGGTCAACGTAACTGACGGAATTCTCCGGGAAGGTGAGGTTATAGGTGACTGCCAAGCCCTCGGGGTTGGAGTCTGACAGCGATCTCTCCAGCCTGTTCTGTATCTCCTTTTCCTCAGTTGGGGATGTGGCATGTTGGGAGCTTGATGGGGAGGGGGGGCAAGAGTCGCCGTCCTGGGTCGTGTCCGTGTCAGTACTGGAAGTCGAGCTGGAGTCGGACATCCTCCGGTGGATGTGCCCGTTTCCCGGCGACTCCAACTCCTCATCAACGTCCGTGTCGCACAACTCTTTGTTCGCGTGGACTACCGAGTAATCGGGCATCTTCTTCTTAGGGGACGGCCACGGGCTATTCCCCGCACTGGTGTCGTCAGAGCTCACACTGGAGTTGTCAAAGTCCGTCTGCAGGGCTTGTCTGACGTGCTTGGAGAGTTGCCATGGTAAGAGTTTGACACCTTTACTACTGGCCTGAGAATCCCCTTTGATCTGGTGCTCGTCTCTCAGCCCTTGTTCGTAGTCGTTCCTGGCGATCAGCAGAGCCAGCTGAGTCTCCGTGGTGAGGCTCTCGCTGTCCGAAGACATGCTGATGTCACCCGCCGTCGTCTTTGCGTCAGCGTCAACGGGACTCTGGTTTTTGGAGGAGATTGCACTATCTACAGACTTGTGGCTTAACCTTCTGCTACCAGTAGCACAGGTGTCGGACTGAGACATCACGGAAGGCTCTAATCCAACGGTCTGCCCCAAAATCTTCTCATAGAACTGTTGATGCTGCTCGGACATTGCACTACTGTGTTTGCTGACGGCGTCATCAGCGTACCCTGAATCTGAGCAGCTACGGTCGAGGCTCAGACATGACGAGTTCTTTGTTCCCGGTGGTTCAAGGTCGACGTCGGCATGTTCCAGTAACCTGTGGGACGTCACCATGTCGGAGCTTCCTGGAATGTCGTGTGAGAGTTTCCTGGGAGGGGGGCCGGGCTTATCTCCCGGGGGAGACCCGGTGCTGGGGGTGGAGGGGGCGGAACTGGGCTTCCTCTGCAGGGTGGTGTTGGGGATCCAGGTAAGGATGAGGGTGGATCCCAGCACGTCATCATCTTGAGCACGGATCGTGAGGTATCCTGGAAAAGTGACAGAAAAAATGAACATCAGACAATGATGGGAAAAAATGTATTTTGGTCTGCACTGTGCAGGGCTTGATCCCCATCAAACAAGAGCACTCCCACTCTCCCAAAATTCTAGCACCCTTCCCAAAAAGTTAGGGTTTTCTCTTAGTATTTTCATGAAAATTCGCTGATTTTCCAGTAACCGATTAGGGAGCACCTCTCCCTTAAGAATTTCTGAGACCCTTACTGTAGCTAATAGCACAGTTAATAAAATGCAGGTCCTGTCCTGTATATTTTACAACAACACACTGTGATACAGCTACAGAAAGTCTCTACTGCATTTGGTGAAATCCTTATCTACATGTAGTACCAGCAGATGCCTTTATTTTGTCACAATAGCATTTTCCTTTAAATGTTAACTTCTGTACGGTATGCGGTATAATCGTCCTTTGGCATAACACACCAGCTTTAACTTAAAGCACCAAGACTCCAATATTTATAAGATCACACACACTCTTGCCCAGTACAGTGCTTTCACACCCTCAGAGCATTTCCACGTCAGCCCATTTCTCCCAATCCAGGTGTAAAGCAATGTAGATGGCTTAATTTCTTTGAACTAATTTCTTTAACCACGATACAAAGAGTTACCCAAATCTGAGAGGACTCAAACGCACTTCCCTGGCATTAGGACTCGAGCAATCAATACAGAGGCAGTGGACCATAGGCACTCCACTGGGCAGGCCTGATAAGCTTATTAGCTGTGGGACATTATATAGAATTATCTGTCTCCCTGCTAACGGTTACCTGACTACGTCCAGGGCATTTATATCCGGGCAATTCCCCTTTGTCATCTCAGGGCTCGAAATACTGGGTGTATCTGTGCACCTTAGTGCATCCAAATTTGGAGCTGTGCACCCAATTTTTGTCTTTGGGTGCGCCAGTGCACCCAAATATTTTCATAGTATGTAAAAGATGTTATTATAATATATATCAGTCAGTATCAGTTTTATTTAAAATTGACTGGAATGTCATATATACAATGAGTGACATATGACATGAAGTCAGATTTTCAAATATGACACTGCATGTATTACATTATATAATCAATCACCAATATGACAAATTACATTAAAAATTGTGAATAAAACATCATATTATACAGCTGTACATAGTCATACACACACACACACATATATACAGTAGTCATAATACAGCATATTCTTAATATCTAAGGGTAAAAAATAATAAAATCATTGACTGTTATAGTACATGTATTTAGAAATGAAATTTAGTTTTAGCTGACATTCTACTTATATGGTGCACCCATTTTTTTTAGGTTGGGTGCACCAGTATTTCCCAAAATGAATTTTGAGCCCTGCACCTAAACCTCCTAAGGACATCTCAGTGGTGAATTTATATGTGACAAATGTGGTTGAGGACCGGTCAATGCGGTATTGTGCGTACAGTAGACGCGGAGTCTGGTTGGTAAGCCTTCGGGAGGAGCGGGAAAATGACTCCCGGCTGTTAGCATCATTAATTCCTTTTACAGATTTCACGTCAAGCCTGCTCATTGTCACTTACGTGAGGGAGGTGCAAATATAAGCAGGTTTTGTTAGCCTCCGTAGCAGGCTTATAGAACTGGGGGTTTGGTGATCTTCGGCTGTTTTTTGATTAGCCAGTTCAAAAAACGGGGGTAATTCAACCAGGCCGGCTATGTTGTCTATATGCAATCAGAAATTAAAAGCTCCCAAAGACCGTGAAGACCCCCAAAACCCCTAGTTTTTGGCATGCGACAACAAAGAATATGGCAGACTGTCATGTGGACATTGGGGAAGGTTAGACATCCAGGTAATAAGATACGCTGAAAAATAGTTACTTTGACAAGCAACTGGATATGATTTTGGAAACAGTCAGACGTTTCAGGTAGCATCCACTAGCTTTTGTCAGTGACACCTTTCGTCAGTGATACCTTTCGTCAATGTCTTGTGAACGGATGCTTGAAATGCAAGGCAAAGAAAAACAGAAGACTTATAAAAAGAGTTCGATCTGAATGGTCAATTTATAGTACCTATTACCTTGGGCGCTACATGCATGTATCTTATTGTATCTAACATAAACATGACTATTGTGTATGATGGGGGTTGCAGAATACGTGGGAACTCTCGGAGTATAACAATATGCCAGCTTATATAATAGTAAAATGTTGGGCGGTAAATGTCACTCTTTTTACTTCATTCATTCAATCAGCCCTTACTCTATCAAAAATATTAGTTAATGTTCACATCTGTATACTTCTGGCAACTTATATAGAGTTGGTGCTATTTAACAATACAGCTATATAGTAGTACTACACACATGACTTTTTAAAGAGGGTTAAATATGTGGTTACTTGTGACTTACTGTGAATTGTATTAAACGTAAGTGACAGAGCATTGAAATCCAGTTTCTTTTGACTTACTTTCTTAGTCTGTACTTTGTTCATTATATCTATAAAGGCCTCTGGCAAACTGCTCAGACCTTCAATTAACATTATTTCCCATGTGAGGTCTGTCCAATTTAGATCCATCTTAATGTATTCACCTTCATTACTTTCTTACCCTCTGGAGGTATCCCGGATCTTAAGTTCCAAGCCTTCTTGATTGAAGTCCATATTCAATCTGAGGTAGTCATCATGGCCTCATAATAATCCAATCCACATGAATTTCACTGTTTGTGATAATATTCTTGCATACAGAAGCCTGTATATAATCATAGCACATTCTAATATTCCCTGGATTGAGTTGAAAACATCCTCAGGGTAAATTAAAGCAACATTATTGCTAAATCCAAACTGCAAGCAACATAAGACTTTAAACCCCCAAAACATGAATCATTTCTACCCCACCTACACTGTACCTGTACGAGTATAATGTCTTGCTGTGGTCTGCTGGAAGCTTTAGTGTATTCCTCCCACACTAGGCTATACTGCAGCGAAGTGGCTACGCCAACACAGGGCTTAAAAGTCATTTTTGGGAATTCCATTACTTGGTGCAAAAGTTAGATGCACAGATTTTTGGGTGCAAAACATTCATCAAAGTAGGAAGTAGAAAACCTAATAATTATTACAAATCTTCCTGTCTTTTTATTTTATCAAACAAGACAGTAATACAACACAAATTTTCATTATTGTTTCTGGAACTTAGATGTGTTGTCATAAAGTAAGTATACATGTAACAAAACTTTTATTTTTTTTTTTTTAACAGTATCGCTCAATGCAAGGCAAATTATATTTGACCACTTCTAGGCATAGAGCTAAAAACTACATGTAGAACCTTAAAAATTATGTAACCCTTAACTGCTTGACACCCATGGTCAATAATTACACATGTACGTACACAGCTTCGATTCTTAGTGCACTAAAAAGTGCATAATTATATACCAAGTATTTTGAGCTCTGTTCACTGTATGTTGTTGCAGCAACTCTGCCGACACAGTAACAACTTGTCAACCTGTCCTCAGGGAAACACAATTACCAACATACAGTCTGTACCACCACACCTGATCCCATGATACGGTGGCAATTACTGCTCTATACATCTCCTCTCTCCAGCTGTGTCACAATGGAGGACAGTCATCACAGACATCCGTGAATAGTTTCATCAGGTTGGTACAGTAAGTCACTGAGAACCAGTCAGAATTGCCCCGAGGAAGGTGACAGACGGTCACCAAAACGTTGGCTGAATAAAAGACTTGGTTGTGTAAAAAGAGTCCCTTTACTCAGAGACATCACAGACATCCATGAATAGTTTCATCAGGTTAGTAATAGCCATTGAGTCACTGAGAACCAGTCAGAATTGCCCCGAGGAAGGTGACAGACGGTCACCAAAACGTTGGCTGAATAAAAGACTTGGTTGTGTAAAAAGAGTCCCTTTACTCAGAGACATCACAGACATCCATGAATAGTTTCATCAGGTTAGTAATAGCCATTGAGTCACTGAGAACCAGTCAGAATTGCCCCGAGGAAGGTGACAGACGGTCACCGAAACGTCGGCTGAATAAAAGACCTGGTTGTATAAAAATAGTCCCTTTACTCAGCAACACCACAGACAATAAACCAAGGATCAAAATAAATTTGTTAGTCAAATGTGACATTGGAAGTTGTCAGAAATTGTCCTTGTAATTCAGAAAAATTTTTCACAAATGCCTTTAGTTAAAAAGTAGCTGCATGTTTCCACAAGAAATACAGCCTAATAAAGAAAAGACTTTTATCATGGTCATATAATGTACAGCACAGTACATGAAGCTTTGGTTTGTAGTTCTTTCTAAACTACCACGATGATGTTAAAAACAGAAAACATCAAGGAATACAGCCCAAAAATTAGAGTTTCACACAAAATTTACCTCCAGTGGAGTAACTCACTGAAATCTTTTCTGCCGCTGGATTTACTTCACTTCACAAAGTTTGAATCTATCATCTCCCGAAGTCCAATGTAGCTAAGAGAATTATGCACTAACCTTGTCTAAAATGACTGCAGATGGCCTGCAGTAAAAGCAATGATCCGACCATATAATTTATCACACAGCTGGGTGCTCAAAAAAATCCATCTCTCTGAGCTAGTCCACAAATTTGACTCTTATTCGCCGGAGGGGCTATGACATGGCATATTGCAGTGACATCAGGGCATATGCCATCTGCTTTATTGCCACTTAAGCTTTGATTGCCTTAGGGAAGTCCTCCGTCCATAGCTCCAACCATTTGGTGCTGACATCCATCGAGTGAAGACCTAATAGATCTACTTCTAAGTGCCTCTCCAGCTCAATCTACTGAGAACATTATACCAACTTTTATGCTTCACAATATATCATAGGGATGTTTTGCAAGAGAAACTGTTTGTATAATGTTGCATTCAATTTTTTTTTATTGAATTTCAACATCAGGAAAAGTACAATAACTTCCATGAAAACAATAGGTGTATATTTTAAATTACAAATTGCAAACATACTAGTACTAAATATCATTCAGTAAAGGAGTGCACCTATCTTATAATAATTTTAGTTGAAACCCTGAATTGTTGCCATGTATTGTATATAAGTTTTAGAATTGACAATATCATAGTGGTGAGATTGTATCGCTTAATCCCACCCCAGTTACACTTCATAAACTTCATAGCAACAACATCAATCACACCCTCAATGCAGTGGAATTATAAGCCAAAACTAAAAGGATGACACGTACAGATTACATCTTTAAACTGGCTATACCAACACATCACACTTCCTAGAAGCCTACAATCTACACATTCAACTTTTAACCCTCCGTTCATCTTTCAAATGCCATAATGTCTGCTATCTAATTCAGCATCATGAAATGTAGTAGTAACTCCGTGGTAACTGTTGCACTATCTCTCAAGAAACTACAAAGAATCCATAAATCAAAACTTCGCACTGAGATCCTTCTTCTAGCTTGACAATCAATTACAATCATTTGAATTCCTGACTTCTTGTACAATGGTATGTATCTTCCAGAAATATTGCTGGGTATAGCAAAATAATTTTCAATATAATGAATTCAAGAAGACGTGGAAACTTTAAAGTTTGTTTGAAACCTCAAATGCCAGGAAGGATGCATACAAGCTGAAGTACTCCTCCCCATAAGCACCAATACCTTTACAAAATGTATCCAGTTGATTGCTCCAGTCAATCTGTCGTTCCAGATCATTTGCTTTTTGTAATGGCAAAGATCTACCACTCTCCCTGCTGGCTGAAATACTAGGCCTGTAAATGTTAATTGCACCGTCTGCATGCTGATTCATGGACCTTCTGGGATCAGTGATTTAAAGCCAGACGGCCTGAACTTCCCTTCTAAAGCACAGGCTGAATGCATGATCTATGGTTTGGTCTTATAAATCGACTTCATAAACTGCAATTCTATAGACTGTGCACCTCTGTATCAGTTCATGTTGATGATCTAGAGCTTAGGCCACACCAATTTTTATGACTGACATCAGCCCGCGCATTAATTTTCGCAAAAGTTTTGAAAAAAAACAAGAAATTTTGTTGCCTTCTGACAGTGGTCAACATGCCGAAAATGGGCAAGGATGTCTGTTGCCATGACGGAAGGTGGTTGGCAGATAACTATGTAGAGAGGAGACAAGAAAAGGCTCTGATGTTTTATTTCTAACTTTGATGCAGTGATATGTGATGCTGGTTGTGTACATGTGATGTTCCAACTGAATAAAAACCATTTATACATTGATTGAGTCAGAATTTTCAAATGTCGGAACCTTGTTTTTTCCGCCCCGTCTTGTTTTTTTTTTCACCCGCTCGCATTAGATTTTGAGTCTGCGGAGGATGTCATCCATAGAATTTACTTGCTGTGGCCTTACACACGAATACTAACAGTTCAGCTACTACCACTAGTTCCCTTAGAGCAAGAGTTAGTCAGGCTTCAGATCATGCCTTTTGAGACTGCTGTTGCAGACGGCTCTATTATATGAGTCTGAAAAGTGCCAGCAAGGTTGCCAGAATGTCTGAAACATGAAAAGCACCCAACCCCCCTTTTTGAACACAAAGTATAGAGGCTTGTGTTATCTATAATTCCATATCATAGCTATGGCCCAAATAAGTCATGTTCACAAAAGAACACATTCTAGAAATGACTGTTTCCCAGCTGCCCACCCCCATGTTATTAGAATCAGTGCCAACAGGCTTCCTCGGAGACAAGGTTAACCTTTCCCTTTTAAGTGATATCTACAGTACTAATAGCAATGTTGGCTTAGAGCTATTGCCAGTGTTCTTAAAGCTTCATGGAGCCTAGGAAAAAAATGTAACAGTTGTGTTTCTTGTTTCCTGACAGACCCTAGAAAAACCTGCCGACCCTAGACTTTTTTCGGGTGGACCCCTGCAAGGGACATAAATTTTCAAGCTGATCAACTTTCTACATGTAGCTCCATGATCTGAGAGCTGAGTGATGAAACGTCGTAAAATTGGTTTCTAACATTGACATTGAAAAGATACGTGTTCTCATACAAGTTTTACTTTCAAATTTGTTAAACTGTATTGTACAAATAAGTTGGTCCCCTATACATATATCAATCCCTACCTAGCAACCCTATTTTTTTCAGGACTGAAACAGGAAAGCAACATTTTTTTCCTAGGCTCAGCTGGGACACTATACGTCTCTATAGGACAGGACAGACTGGAATGCTCTGATAACAGAGATTACAGAAGAGTGAAGATTACCTGGATGGTGAATAGTGTTGACGTTGAGCGGTCCTGGAGGATGTACGCACACGTTGTTCTTGCAGTAGATGATCTCTCCGTCTAGCGGGGGCGGTCGCGTCGGGTCGTTAGCCAGTCCCAGCTGCCCCAGGATGCCCGTAGCCTTCTTTAGCAGAAACCCCAGCGGCATGGCTTTAAGCCTTTGCTTACACCTATACTATAGCAGTGGAGTCAGCCTCCTAAGGAATGTAGCAGTTTGGATCCAGTCATCTTATGTTCTGAGACTGCACTCCATGATGTCTGTAGCAACAATGTAGTATTCACAGCATGGCCTGTAAAATGGCAGAGAATGATACTGATCAACAATTTGAACCGTGACAATGAATAAGCTCATTGAAGAGAGAAAATAAATAGTTCTTTTATAAGATTAAGAGCAGGCTTTTGTCAGGTTTCATCTTAAGTACATTTGTATGTGCTGTGACTGCACTCCATGATGTCTACAGCAACAATGTAGTATTCACAGCATGACCTGCAGAATGGCAGAGAATGATTCTGATCAACAATTTGTGAACGTGACAATGAATAAGCTAATTGATGAGAGAAAATAAATAGTTCTTTCATAAGAGCTGCTGGCTTTTGTCAGGTTTCACAGTCCAATAACTCCTGCAGTTAAAAGCTAGTTAGGACTGTCCAGTATATCTCCTCCTTACACCTGTTGGGAAATTGCCAACAGTCTTCTACAGGGAAATGAAGGAACTTTTAGGACATGAATTATGCCAATAGAACAATGGTATGCGGTAAAAAAAAAAGTTGACCCCTTAAACTAGTTAGAGTGCGCACTAATTAATTGAAAAAAAGCTACTAAAAGGCAGATGTAATTAGCAACCCCATTTAACGATTGCAAGGTTAGGGTCCTGTCTAATGCCGTTAGTGTTAGAGCTCTGTTCATTGATGTACACATTACTGGTACAGAGCACAGTCCTTTAGGACAGGGTTCAAAGTTGTCAGTTCCATGTTTGAGGAAATTGACAATCTACGTACGTTATGAAAGACCCACAGCAACTTGAAGTTGAACAGGGTAGAGTGTAACATTATGCTTCAAAGTCAAAGCAATCAGTTTAGGCCTGTGCTTATCTACTCTAGTGCAGACCTGGGTCATAAGGCAGTTACCATCCCATTTTGGTCATTTACCATTTGGCTTGCATCAAGCAGACAGTTATGTCCACACACTAGTGATAAACTTGCCATTAAGGACCTCTAACTGGTAATAGGTCATAGACAAAAAACACTAAAGCTACCATTTGTGCAATGAAGTATATAGAAAGCATGAATATTTCAACTCGTAATATTATTTGTCAATAGCTCAGTTATCCACATTAAGATGTTACACATAAACAACCAAACCAAGGAAAAAAGCCTTTAACGTCAAGTATTTATTTGCCTTCTTAATTTGGCTTGACAAACGCATTGAGAAAGGCTTCTTGGCTTCAAACGAAATACAATTTCACGTAAAAGAGAAGTTCAATTGCTTTCATTGATCCACCTTCAAAGCTTTGGTCAAGCCTAATACAGTTGACCTTCAAGGCCGGAGTAACCATCTGGTGTTTTCCTCTTAGCACATAACTGGATGTTGATTATTGAGAAAGAGCAATACAGAAGACGGCCTAAGGCCACAGCAAGTAAATTTTATGGATGACATTCTCCACAGACTCCAAATCTAATGCGATAGGGAAAAAAACAAAACAAGGCTGGCCCAAAAAAACAAGATTCCTATGTACATTTTAAAATTTTGACAGCATAAACCTTGTCAAACAAGAAATGATACCTATATTGTGCGAAGTTGACTGTCACAACTATCACAACATCCATTGTCACTGAAAAACAAAAGTTTTCAATCGTTGTACAAACGGTTTTGATTCAGTGGGAACATCACATATAAACGGAAATCGCAAAATGAAATACATCACTGACATTCACTGCATCAAAGTAAAAGACAAAACAATAGCCTTGTCTTGTCTCCTCTCTTCAATTTCTTGTTTTGTTTTTTTACAAAATCAGGTAAAAATCACATGTCATCCATAAATATTACTTGCTGTGGCCCCTTGAATCAACCATGCGGCTGTAGCCTATACCAAGTACCAACTCCAATTTACGTTGGCGCAAGTCTTCCACTCTCTATTACAGCCTCATAAAGGCCATAAGGGTCAAGGGGATGGTGACCCAAATTACCTTCAATGGAGACAGAATGATTCTTGGGCCTTCCTTGGCTATAATAAAGGGCAAAGTGATGTACAAGTACAGCTGAAGGCCTGTCTTGAGTCTGCAATAAGCAACATCTCTCAAGTAATTCCCTGAACAACACATTCTGCATTTCAGAAACATTCCATCAGGCCTAGAATCTAGGCCTAGTTTCCCAGCCAACCCTAGAAAAATCTGCCAACCCTAGCCTCTTTTTTGGGTGAACCCCTGCAAGGGACATAAATTTTTTGAGCTGATCAACCTTTTCTAGCTCCATGATCTGATACCTGAGTGATGAAAATTGCTGTACAATCACTTTTCCAACATTGGCATTGAAAATGTCCTCATGCAAGTTTTACCTACATGTTAAACTGTACTATTTACGTTTGATCACTAGAGATCACCAAAGTCTAAAAAAAAAAGAAGAAAAAAAAAGATAATCCCTACCTACCGTGAAGAAGGAATTGCACATGAATTCCAATAAAATCACCACCCTTTTTACCAATACCAGTAGTTGCTTCTGTACCTCAGGGTTCAGCAAGTACCACACTGATCATTAAAACACTTTCAGTACTATATTGGCATGCTACAGTACATGTGTACTGCAGTGGCCTTATCTGGAATTTATGACTTCACACCCCATTTAAGTTACCCAGGGCCACATAGGCAGAGGACCGGCCCTGCAAATTAAATGATTTGCAGAGATCAATATTAACGGTGGCTTGAAATGGAAACCCGGCAGGCATAACGATTGGGAACTAATCATTTCTCATAAGTAGCCATATACTTGCATCAAAGGAACAATGTTTTCTCTGACCTCTGATCTCTAATTTGTATTGCTGAATGTTTTACAATCCTAATATCACCATGGTGCCTACATGTACATGCACATTTGCTACATTACAAAGTACTAAACATTACGTTAAGTAAAGCTATGGCCTAAAGCTGTGAAGTGCAAACAAGATTGTAAAATTTCATTATTTCATTCCATAACCTTGAACTAGATACATGTAATGGAATTCTAATCAAAAACTAATTCACAAAACTGTAATGTCTTCAATGTAGTTCAAAACTTTATTTACTGTACAGGTAGATTCTTGACCAACTTGTCTTGTTTATACTCATTTTTCTTTAACCCATTTTGTAATTATGTATGTATTTTATCATTGTGTTTTACTCTCGTTTTATGTTTTTTAGCAGAAGGCGTCATATACATGTACATTTGTAAGCAATTGTGCCTCTTGCCTAACACTAAATTAATATGTGAATAGAATTTTTAGAAAAATTAAAAATCAGTTAATAAGTGTTTAAATCTACCTCAATGTTAGTCTCTTATCAGAGCTACCGACATTACTAGTATCTAAGAAACTTTGTCTTTGAGCCTGAGGCACATGTCACCAACATGTCCCTTGATCAAAATTTGATCTGGTATGTTTCATATCTCAGTAATATGGCAATACAAAAGGGCCTCAAGGGATAAATCTCATTTCAGGTCTTCCATGAATGAAGAAAACCTCTTTGTCACTGTCAGGTACAACAGCATATATTCCAGCACCATGGACAGGATAGATCAATAATGGTCAAAAGGTCCTGCCTTGCAATAGATATATGGGAGATAAAGGGCACATTTAAATGTTAGACCGTGATGCATGTACAGCGTGCATGATCAATTACTGTAAATTCTTCCACCTATGACTTCGTGGGTGGTGAATAACCTTTCCATGTTACAAAAAGGGATTTATTCACGGAAGAAATGTCTCAGACTCTTGTGGCTTGAGAGAGAAAGTGAGCATCACATTTAGAAGCTCAGATATTCGCTGAGAAGCTTAGGTATTTTAAGAAACCATACATCTTCTATATATTATAATCATAAACAGCTTTATAAACAGTTTATTCATAAAAAACAGCCTCGCAGCCTGTACAAAAACATGCTGAATAACACCGATTTTTTACAGTTACTTGTCTGGCAAATACAAAATAACATAATGCAATACATATACAAACACACCAACAAAAACCTTACAAAAGCCTGACATGGGCACTAAAGTAAAGACCAGAGAGTCCTAAGAGTCTGGCTATCATGGCTGGATACCGCTTCCTCAGGATACTGAATAAAGAGACTCTTTTTACACAACCTTAGTGTTTAATTCAGCCGACGTTTCAGTGACCATCTGTCACCTTCCTCAGGGCAATTCTGACTGGTTCACATTGCACAGCACAGGTGTCACTGCTAAAGTGACTTACCAAGCTGATGAAACTATTCATGGATGCTTTCTGGATATTTACGTTTGTAAAATTACGTCTTTGTACTACTATGTGCATACATGCATACAGGAAAAGGACAAATAAAGCATTGATGCTAACTAAACGTTTATCTAGGACAAAATGACCATGGTTTGGGTAGCCATTTACCAACTACAGATAAAGTAATGGGGCAAAGGCCTGCGGCTCAACACATCATTACAGCACACCCACACATGTACATGTACACCATCACTATCACCAGGCAGGGTCAAGGGGTCACACTCAGACAGATTGCAGGTCCACAACCTTGACTCCAGAATATCGTATTTAGTTTTCAGGACTTGAATACTGGGTGCATGTGCACTTTAGTGCACCCAAAATTGGGTGCACTGGTGCACCCAAATATTTTTTGTAGGTATTTTTGTCAAATGTATAATAGTATACAGAACACTCTTGGCATCTAAGTGTCACAAAAATCATAAAACCTTTGTAACTTGTTTTAGCGCTTATTTAAGATTTTGAACTTAGCTACCATTTTAGATTCAAGCTTAGGCCACACCAATTTAATTTGTTGGTTCTCGGATTCGCCTCTTCATTTTTTTCTGATTTGCCAAAAAAAAAAGATTCTGGTTCTGAATCAACTAAAAAATGCTCATATTTTGCCCCCAACAGTTGAGGAAATTCCTTTTCTTCCTAGTTGTTACAGTTTTTTCCATCTATCAATGCAGTGGTTTGATTAAAAGTTCAAAATTTATACTTTAAATTTTAACTCAGCCTTTTTTGTTGACTTCATGGGTCATATTGTAGCATTTGGGGCTATAATAGGATGCCTAGACCTGTTTTTATTTTT